TCCTGGTCCTTCCTCATCAACTGCCATCTGGGTGGCCCCTACTCCCGCGCTCGCTGCCATCCTCCCAGCCCAAGGGCTAGGACCAACTTAGCCCTGGCATGCCTGCTGACCTACAGTATGCGATGTGTGGGCTTGGCCCTGTCCAGTCTGGCCCCAGGCTCCTGCCCATGAGGCACACAGCAGCCTTTGGAGCCATCCCAGAAACCCTGATGCACCCTTTCCCGGTCTGCCACTCACACAGTTCCACTGGGGGGATGGCGGGTCAAGAGCCTGCGTCCGTCAGGAACTCATGTTCCCAGGCCTGCCCCTGGCGGACACTGCTTGGAGACACCCCTGGAGGGCCATGGGCTCTGCACTCACAGGGCCACCACTCAGGACGGTGTGAGGGCGGCGGAGCCTGGCCCAGCTCCCCAGCTGGGAGGAGGCCTCTGCCTGGGTGTTGTCCACAGCTTCAGGGTGCTCCCGCTGGCCGGGGTGCACCCTCCTGCAGAGGACGGTAACCACAAGCCCCCAAGAGCAGCGGTGCCCCAGGTCCTTGGCTCCTGGCCTGCACCAGAACCCCGGCCACAGCCCATCCCCTCCGCCCGGCCCTCAGGCCCCAGCAGCCTGCCCTCCGGAGACTGGTGGAGGCCGGCCCCTCCCGCAGGCATCCGCTGTATACTCCTCTAGAGCCAGAGACAGCCAGACTCAGGCTGGAGCCTCCACCCCTGCCGACGGGTCCCCCCTCTGCTCTGTATTCACCTTCACGCCACCTGCAGGCTCTGTGCTCACAGCCTGCACGACCAGGACAGTCAGCGGCGCCCTCGGCTCCTGCGCACCCAGGTGGCTGTATCGCCAGCTGCCCCTGCGCCCAGGGCCACCGCGCCTCGAGGCCCCATCAGCTCGGCTGGGCCCGGACCTCCTCATTGCCCCTCTTCCCTGGTCAAGCCAAGGCAGGCAGGGAGGCACGCCCCCACACCCCCGCACTGCATCTCTTGGTGACAATCCCGTCTTGAGGGTGGTCCTCCCTCCCATGCTGCTCCCTGGCCTGACCCCAATGCCCTGCCGACTTCCACAACCCCCACACCCCACCCCACCAAGAGCTTTACCAGGGACCTCACCCTCACCCTTGGGGTTCACCCACCTCCACTGATGAGTCTTGTGCCCACAATGACCCCTCTCCAAGCCTCAGAAGTGCCTCATAGATCCAGCCTGCCTCTCGCAACTCAGCTGGGCCCTGGGCTTCCCAGCCTGGTGGGAGACCCACTTTCTATAGCTTCTCTAGCCACGATCCTGGGGCCACTCCTCTCCTCCCCAGATCCAGGGCCCTGCCAGAGCCCCGGGATTCCAGCCAGCTGGCCGCTCCCTCCCACCACCAGAGAACCCTCCTGGATGGTGTCCTGGACTCTGGCAGAACCATCACACTGGCCGCGCCCAACCCGCTCCATGCCACGGCAGGACACCTGCTCCAAATCACAGACCTAACCAATGTCTGCCCTTCCTGTGGCTCCCGACTCATCTGGTGGAGGCCCGGCCCAGCCCCACCAGCATCAGCCCTGGCAAGCCCACCCCTTCCTCTTATGTGGCAGAGGCTCTTCTGCTGGGACATCCTGAGCCCTAGGCCGCCATGACCACAGTCCCTGAGTTTCTCACCATGATGATCTTTCTGCTTATGCTGAAGGAGCGTTATGTCTAAGGGAGAAAAAACGCTTCGAATAAACACGCCTGACTCCACAGATGCACGAAAAGATGATCTGGAGAAGAGCACCATCAACAAAACAAAAGACTGGGAAGTAAACGTGCCACTCACATCCAAAGGCGGGGAGAGAACTTCCAGATTAAAACACTAACGAGGCTTAATGGACCAAACGCACGTGTAAGCCCTGATGCCCTGATCTGGGGGTGGGAGTCAGGAACACTATAAATAAAAGCACTCTTTTTTACTTTTTTTTTTTTTTTTTTGGGGACAAGTTCTCATTCTGTTGCCCAGACTGGAGTGCAGTTGTGTGAACTCAGCTCACTGCAACCTTTACTACCTGGTGGGTTCCTCAGCCTCCCAAGTAGCTGGGAGTACAAGGTGCTCACCACCATGCCTGGCTAATTTTTTTTTGTTTTAGTGGTGGTGGGGGGCCTTACCCAAGGAGTGCTCCTCTCCTCCTGAAGGGGTTCGGTGGGTTACTGCGTTCTTACTCAGTGGCCTGCCCTCCTTCCTAGCTCCTTGGGACAGGTAGTGTTCCAACTCCAGCACTTCAGGCTCCGCGGAAGCCACCATCCCATGGCTGCTTAGCCGCAGAGAAGGGAGCCTGACCCCATGTGCACCATCACATCCAGCCACACAACAAAAACCTTAACAAGATTTCTTTGGAGTGAAAGCCTGTGAAACCTACAAACAAGGTTGAGCATCATCTGATCCTCTTTACCTCCTGATCTCTATCTACCCCAGCTGAATCTCCTGTGGCCCTGGCTTCTCTGCTCACGGCCCTCGGCCACTCCCTGTCCTGGATCCCTTTCCCCAAACAGCGACAGCTTCACTCCTTTTTCTCCTTTAGCTTTTGTTTGAAGTGTCACTTCTTACTTTTCCTGACTGCCCAATTTAAAAGCAATCCCCAGCCAAGGCAAGAGGATCGCTTGAGGCCGGGAGTTTGGGACCAGCCAGGGCAACACAGTGAGACTTCCTTCTCTACAAAAACACTTAACATTTGCAGGGCATGGTGGTATGCACCTGTAGTCCCAGCTACTCAGAAAACTGAGGTGGGTGGACTGCCCCAGCCCAGGAGTTCAAGGGGTGCACTACTGCACTCCAGCCCAAGTGAGAGAGCAAGACCCCATCTCTAAAAAAATAAGAATAAGGCCAGGCACAGTGACTTAGGCCTGTAATCCCAGCACTTTGGGAGGCTGAGGTGGGCGGATCATAAGGTCAAGAGATTGAGACCATCCTGGCCAAAATGGTGAAACCCCATCTCTACTAAAAATACAAAAGAAAAAAAAAAATTCGCTGGGTGTGGTGGCGCGCGCCTGTAGTCCCAGCTACTTGGGAGACTGAGGCAGGAGAATGGCTTGAGCCCAGGAGGTGGAGGATGCAGTGAGCTGAGATTGCACCACTGCAATACAGCCTAGCGACAGAGCAAGACTGTCACAAAAAATAAAATAATAAAAGCAATTTCCAAAACAATAACACACTCCCTCCCTCCCATGCCTCACATATCCACGTGGCATTTTTCATCATCGAGCATACTATTTATTTTTTCTTTGGTGGAGTCTCACTATGTCACCCAGGCTGGAGTGCAGTGGTGTGATCTCGGCTCCCTGCAACTGCTGCCTCCCAGGTTCAAGAGATTCTCCTGCCTCAGCCTCCTGAGTAGCTGGGACTACACGCACCCACCACCATGCCCAGCCGATTTTTGTATTTTCAGTAGAGACGCAGTTTCACCATATTGGCCAGGCTGGTCCCAAACTCCTGACCTTGTAATCTGTCTGCCTGGGCCTCCCAAACTGCTGGGATTACAGGCGTGAGCCACTGCACCCAGCCTCATTCAGTGTTTAAAAGGCATCACATACTCGGGACCCAACGAATTTCCTTCTGAAACACTGCCTTGGGAAACCACTCACGCGAGAGCGAACAAAGGCATCCACATGTTCTCCACAGCACTATTTCTAATGTCAAAAAAAAAAAAAAAAAAAAAGGAAACAATCTAAATACAATAGTTGCCCATCAGGAAATGCAGTGCTATCCTATTTTGTACTGGGCACCAAAGAATGAAGACCTATATCACTACCATGAAAAGTCCCAAGACATACAGCGAGTGATGACGAATCAGCCAAATACGCAGTATTAGTTTTTAAAACGACAAAGATTACCAAAAAACAACACATTTTCCAGTTGCCTATGTATGCATGTAAAAGCACAGAAACGTGTCTGCAAAGTCACCAAACCATGAACAGCAATAACCTCTTGGAAAGGAAGGACTAAGTCTAAAGATAACCTTTTTTTTTTTTTTTCAGTCTTTTCATTACTCTAAGTTTCATTTTTTATTTAGCTTTCTGACTCTGTGCTTGCGCCTTCAACACTTTCACAACTATTTTCTGCTCCTCGATAAGGAAAGCACGCTTGATCCTGTCACGAACACATTTAGCACACAAGGAACCACCACAGGCCCTGCTGACATGTTTGTTTGTTTTGGACAATCTCATAAAAACTTTAGGTCTTACAGCATGAACCCCTCGAAGCCTGCCTGGGCACACGCCACATGAAGATTTTGGTGCTTTCCCAACCTTCTTGGTATATAGGTAAACAATTCTATTAGCAGGGGTCCGGGACAGCCTAGTTTTGTTAGAGGCGGTATTGCAGGAAAGCCTACGCCGGTATGTCAAACGCTGGACCATTCTGAGTGCCTGCACACAACGTCCCCGGAAGAGCTGTTTTTGTTTTTTGTGTTTTTTTTTTTTGAGACAAGAGTCTCACTCTGTTACCTAGGTTGGAGTGCACTGGCATGTTGCGATCTCGGCTCACTGCAACCTCTGCCTCCCAGGCTCAGGCGATTCTCCTGCCTCGGCGTCCCAAACAGCTGGGACTACGGGCGCCCACTACCACGCCCGGCCAATTTTTTTTTTTTTTGTATTTTTAGTAGAGACGGGGTTTCACTATATGGGCCAGGCTGCTCTCGAACTCCTGACCTTGTAATCCGCCCGCCTAGGCCTCCCAAAGCGCTGGGATTACAGGCTCGAGCCACTGCGCCCGGCTTGGAAGTAACTGAATTCGGTAGAAGAACGTCTGGTAGATTCTCTCGCACTTCAACATTAATTTTAGAAGGTTGACGAACCAATGCTTGAGACTCCAGGCCATAACTCTCAGGGTCCCTCATGCATTTTCCTTTGCTAACGCTTTACCTGACAACTAGAGAGCTTTCGCCAGTCCCTCGCGCAGGCTCCAAGCGCTAACCCAGCCACCGCGGTCGGCACCCGGGACGGCCCCCTGCTCCCCGCGGCCACCCCCACGCCCGCGGACAGCGCCCCTCACTCACCAGACACGGGGGAAGGATCCCTCTTGGCCTGGAGACGACTGGCCTGGGGCAAGAACGGGTTGTTCACCCTACGGGAGGCGGCGAGGTCAGCGGGGAACCGGCCCAGGCCGCCCGCCGCCCACAACGGACCGCCTGCCAGCGAGGGTGCTCACCCGAACGTGTTGGGCTCCTCCACCACCTTCATCTTCGCGGCACCTGCTGGCGCGGGCCCTACGGGGAAAGAGACAGTGAGCGGGGAGGCCGAGGTGCTGAGCGCGCGGGGGGCCTGGGGACGCGGGCGGCCGGGCCACTCACCACGCGCAGAGAGCCCGAGGAGCAGCAAGAGGCCCGCCAGCTCCGCCGCCATCGCGCTGCGGCGGCCGTGAGGTCACGTGGGTTGGCGGCCACGTGACCGCGGGAAAGGAAGTGGCTCCCGGCGCATGCGCAAGCAGCCGCACTGCCCTTCGGGAGGTTGGGGGGCGTGGCCGTGGGGGTCTCCGGTGCCCCAGATCGGCTCCATGGGCCGCAAGAGGGCGGCCCGCGGGCCGGGGGCGGAAGGCGGCCGGGCTCGGCGCCTCCCGAGCCGCTCCCTGGAGGCCTTCGCCGAGGAGGTCGGCGCCGCCCTGCGAGGTGAACGAGGCGTGATGGGGAGAGCGGGTCGGGGATCGAGGGCCGGCGCGGGGGTCCCGTGCTGAGGCCGAGTACCCCTCTCTCTCTCGTGCAGCGTCAGTGGAGCCAGAGGTGGCCGAAGGCGAGGGCGACCCGGGCCCGGCGACGCTGCCCTGCGCCCTGGCCATGTGGGAGCTGGGCCACTGCGACCCCCGGCGCTGCACCGGCCGCAAGCTGGCCCGCCTGGGTCTGGTGCGCTGCCTGCGCCTGGGCCAGAGGTTCGGCGGCCTGGTGCTCAGCCCCGTGGGCAAGCAGTACGTGTCTCCTGAAGACAGGTAGGCGCTGGGTCCTGCCCTAGCTCGTCTTACTGTCCAGCGCGTGGTTCCCTTCCGGGCTCGTGTACTGGGACTTGAATGTCATACACACGCCCGCACCCGCATCCACGTGGGCTGGCGCCGTCTGTCCAGTTTGCCTCCATTCCACAGCCCAGAGCCTAGGATGTAGAAGGTTTTGGGATAAACGTTTGTTGAGTGAATAAACACATGCTCTAGGTACCCCAAGCAGCTGCCTCAAAAGCTTGCTCATGAAGTCCCTTTGAGGGCGTCTGGGAATAGAGGAATGTTGTCCCTGAATCGCTAGCGAGGCCATTTTCCAGGGACATACTTCACCTTGAGCAGTGCCAGCTCCTGAACTTACCCCATGCTGTCCCTGGCAGACAGCTGGTGGCACAGTCTGGGGTCGCCGTCATCGACTGCTCCTGGGCCAGACTGGATGAGACGCCGTTTGGGAAGATGCGAGGCAGCCATTTGCGCCTGCTGCCCTACCTGGTGGCCGCCAACCCTGTGAACTATGGCCGGCCCTACAGACTTTCCTGCTTGGAAGCTTTTGCTGCCACCTTCTGCATTGTAGGTGAGTCTGGAGGCCCCACAGCAGGCCCGTCTGTCAGCCTGGTGTTCCTGCTGTGGTCCTGGCACCGTGCGTAGTACCGGCAGACCCCGGGACAGGCAGGGAAGCTGTTCAGACAGACCAGGGTTTCGATCCCACTGTGGAGTTTCCGTAGAGAAGAATGGGATGGCTGCTCTACAAGGGCTGGCATGTGGGGCACCATTCATGAACATGGCAGCACTGCCCTGAGAGTCCTCATCCTCCACGTCCTCCTTACAGAATTGCTGATCTAAAGAGGCCCAGATGACTCATGGGGCAGTCTTGGTGCGAATGCTTGGGTCTCACAGCAAAGGAGGGGGATGGGGTTGGCTGCAGAGGTGTGGACTTGGGGCAGCACCGGCTCTCAGGACTGGGCGCTGGTGTTTGGTGGGGACCCTGCAGTTCCTGGGACAGCGCCGCCATCCGGCAGCAGGGTGATGGGGCCACACCCCAGGGGACCAGCGACTTCTTTGGGTTTCCCGTGTCCCACACCATCAGGCTTTCCGGACCTCGCTGTCATTTTGCTGCGGAAGTTTAAATGGGGCAAAGGTTTCTTGGATCTTAACCGCCAGCTCTTGGACAAGTACGCGGCCTGCCGTGGCCCGGAGGAGGTGTTGCAGGCAGAACAGGAGTTCCTGGCCAGCGCCAAGGAAAACCTCCAGGAGGAGGAGATCGGTGAGGCCTGGCGGGTGGGAGCAAGGCCCTCCAAAGCCTGGGCGATGGGAGGCCTGGTCCTGCCCTGAGCTCAGAGGCCACTTGCCTCTCTCATTCAGATCCCTTTGATGTGGATTCCGGGAGAGAGTTTGGAAACCCCAACAGGCCTGTGGCCAGCACCCGGTAGGTCCTTGGTTTTCTTAATTTCCAGATCACTCAGACCTAGGGCCCTCCTCTACCTGCAGCCTGAGCCGTCCTGCTGCGTGGGGTGGGGTCTTCTGACTAGAAAACCTGAGCAGACATCGCATTGCAGGGCTTGGGTCGAGAGCACAGGGAGTGACAGGAATCTGTCATCCCAGCGCTTCGGGAGGATGAGGTGCACGGATCATGAGGTCGGGCGTTAAAGACCAGCCTGGCCAACGCAGTGAAACCCTGTCTCTACTAAAAACAGAAAAATTAGCCGGGCGTGGTGGCTCGTGCCTGTAGTCCCAACTACTCAGTAGGCTGAGACAGAAGAATTGTTTGAACCCAGGAGGTGGAGGTTGTGCGACTGCACTCCAGCCTGGCTGACAGAGCAAAGACGCCGTCTCAAAACAAACAAAAAAGGAATGTGTCCTCGGCCCAGGGCTTTTTGTGGATGAGGTCGCCTCCGGTAGCCAGGGGGGGACATCATTTGGGAATGTGCTCCCCTCCCCCCCCAGGCTGCCCTCGGATGCTGAGGATAGTGATGCGTCTGAGGACCCAGGGCCTGGCGCCGAGGATGGAGGAGCTGGCAGCAGCAGCTCTGAAGAGGAACAGACTCAGGGACGGGGCGCTGAGGCCAGGCCCCCGGCCGAGGTTTGGAAAGGAATCAAGAAGCGGCAGAGAGACTGAGGGTTACAGACATATATATTTTTGAGGCTGGGTGACGAGAAAATCTAGAGACGTGGGGGACACAGGCGGGCCTGGCAGTCTCGGTTCTGCGGCTGCTGGTGGGACTGAGCCGACCGGGTCCTCCCCGCGCTCCCAGCCCGGCCGTCCTCCGTGTCCCTCCTCGGTGCTCTCACAATGAAGCTGCAGGCTGAGGTGCCCCGAGTGAGTCTCTGTTTTTCACACTGGGCCTGAGGAAGGATTGGGGCCAACTCCGGGCCCCGCCTGGAAGGGCTGTGGAGCAGGTCCCTGGTGGCCACGGACATGTGTGTGAAGGGTGGCTGGCCAGTTGGCATGGAGCCGTTCACACTGACCACCAGCTGCAGAGTGACCCCAGGGAGCCTCTGCCGGGCCTGAGAGCCCGGTGGGGACTAGAGTCCCATGCACTTCCGGGCTCACCTGCTCCCCACATCCCGTGAGTGGAGCCTCAGACCCTCCACCCAGTGGTGCCAATGGCACCCTCTTTACTCCTCAGCCGTGACTATCAAAAGTGCCTGTGAACACTGCTTGCCTTTTCCCAGCAAGCACAGCCACTCAGTCTCTGGAGAGCAGCCGCCCATGCCCACCCAGGGCTGCAGAGCCCAAGGGCAGGGAAGCCCACCTGGTGGCCAGGCCCACTCTGGGCTGCACTGTCTCCTGGGTAGCTGCCAAGTTGGCCACCCAGATTGGGAGTTGGGTGCAGAGGTTCACAGCACACAGCAGACGGACACGGCCAGGGCAGTAGGAGCCCCAGGACTAGCCACGACATGCACATCACAGAGCCAGGGCCATGGGAGCACGGGGCCAGCACAACACACGAGGGGCAGCGTGGGCCCTGGCTGCGCAGAGCTGCCTCGGCGAGCTCGGGGAGGGCGGGGCCGTGGGCTCAGGGGTCCTGCCTCCATGCACTTCTCCAGCTCCTTGAGTTTCTTCACGAACTCCTGTGCCTCCTTGCTGGTGCGGCCTTCCAGCATCCTCAGCGCAGACCTCACTGCAAGCAGGTGCGGGCAGGTGTGTGGGAGCCAGGGTCAGGGCCACTGCCAGCTGCCCCGCCCCGCCTGGACCCTCACTCACCCTGGGCTCTGGGTCGGCACAAGTGCAGGGTGACAGGCTGCCCAGCCCTTGCACCCCTGCCCACGTGGGGCCGGGTGACCCCGCTGACGCCGCTGAGGCCGAGGGCTGCCTCCCCGGCGAAGTCGTTGGTGGACAGCCAGTCGTGGTCCATGACGGTGAAGAGCACGCAGGCCCCGCGGCGGCGGCACACCTCTACAGGCACGGAGCTGTGGACAGGCCAGTCAGGGAAGCCTCGCTCCAGCGGCCTGGGGGCGGGAGCTGGGGCTGGGGCTTGGGACACTCACAAGTAAAAGAGCTCGTCGTATACGGGGTGCAGCGTCCGGGTCTTCACCTGGGTCCTCTGGCTGCGGACCAGTGGGAAGAGATGCGGTGGGCCGAGCTCCACGATCACAAAGGGGTCGCTCAGGCCTGCAGGAGCACAGTTGTGAGCTGGCCGGCAGGCCCGATCCTGCCCCACCTGCTCCCACTGCACCTCACCGTTGGCGTCCAGGGCGGGCAGGTCGGCGGCGTGCAGCACCTCCACGGCCAGCCGCTGCTCCGCCGCCTCGTAATGGCAGCGGACGCTCAGGCGTCCAAACCGGCTCTGCTCCAGGGTCCTCTGTGGAAAGGCGAGTGAGCGCAGAGGGGCTGCGGGGGCCTGGGAGGCAGCGCCCCATACTGGCGCCCCTACCTGTTTGAGCTTGTCCAGGTAGAACTGCTCAATGCACTCACGGGTGGAGCATTTGTGAAGCCGCAGCTCCTCCTCCAGCCTCTGTCGGGGAAGCACATCAGGAGGGGCCCCTGGGTGGTGGTGGTCAGTGCTGGCACTCGGCAACCTGGCTCCCCGTGGGCACCCAGCAGGGCCACCTTATGCTCAAGGACACAGCCCCTGTGGGGCGCTGTTTGAACTCCGTCCCCTCGTCTACACCCCAAACCGTGCCCCACAGAGGCTTCCACCTCACCTTGTAGCTTCCATCCCTCAGGCTCTCCAGGGGCAAACCCTGGCCCTCTGCGTGGAAGAAATTGACCAGGGCCTGGGGCAGGGAAAGAAGGTGGAGGCGTCGGAGCCAGGCTTGTGCTGGGGACAGATGGAGACCCCCAGCACAAAGGGCCCCAGGCAGCACTGGGGACTCAGCGGCCCAGGACAGTTATTTCTCAGACCTGGGGGCCGTCGAAAGCTCCCAGGAAGCCTGGGAAAAGGCCATCACCCAAGGCCACACCTCGGCATTAATGGGAGGAGGCCTGGATTAGCTGCTCTCCAGGCAGAGGCTGGGTGGGCCGGTGGGCACAAAGGGAGGGGTCAGAGCAGCCCTGGGGCTGGGGCTGGCAGGGAGGGCTCCTTCACGGGGCTCTACCTCCAGGGTGAAGTGGAATCGGCTGTAGAAGTCAGCAGAAACGTCGCGGTTTGCACCCAGCGCCTGCAGAATGGCCTGCAGGAGGAGCTCCCAGAGGGCTTCCAGCACCCTGCAGGGTGGCATCAGTGACCGTGGGCCAGCCCGACCTGCCCTGCCTGCCCCACCTGCAGAATGGCCTGCAGGAGCAGCTCCCACAGGACCTCCGGCACCCTGCAAGTGGCATCAGTGACCACAGGCCAGCCCGCCCCGCCCCAGCCACTGCACCTGTTCAGGTTCCCCTTCACCAGAGAGGCGTTCAGCAGGGCCAGCTTCTCATCCAGGAACTTCATGAGCGGGGCCACAGCCTGCGGGCAAGGGTCGTCAGGTCAGGCAGACCCTGCACCTCTGCCCTGCCCCCAGCACACACCGTCCGCGGGCCCTCACCCTGGCGCTCACCTCATCGTTCTGGATGGAGTCGGGCGAGAGGCTGATGTGCTGGACGTACTTCCGGATGTCACCCACCATCTGAGGGCAGGAGCAGCGCTCAGCACGGTGGGCACCAGGGACAGCCCTCACCCAGTCTCCAGGCCCCACCCACCTTAGAGGTCAGGTGCGCTGTCACCGTGCGGGCCTCCCGCTGCAGGTCATCATCCAAGGCCTGTGTGCAGCTGAGCAGGGGGCGGGGGAGCACCCCCTCAGGTCCCATGGGCCCCTCTGGCCATGCCAGGCCCTTCAGGGCCTGCCCAGCAGCCTTTCGCACGAGCTCCACGTTGTTGAGGACCACGCAGAGCTGGGGTAAGTGTGGGGAGATGGGTCCAGGGCCTGGTGGTGGCCCCACCTCCTGCCTGCTCCCTCCCCAGCTGGCCACTCACCGCCTCACTCACTGCTTCGCCAGCTGCCCCGGGCTGAGTGTCCACCTTCTTCCGAAGCAGCTCCGTGTAGAAGACGGTGGCCTCACACATGTCCTGGGGAGGGGACAGTAGTGGGGAGCCTTGGAGCCCTTCCTTGCCCCATCTACCCCACACCTGCTCCTCTTGCCCCCAGGGCCCACGCACATACCTGGCCGAGCTGGGTGCCCAGCCCCTGAGCCTGGGCAGAGTCAGGCCATGCTAGGCGTACCCACAGTTCCTGGATGTGGCTGAGGCAGAGACCAGCAGTGGCTGCGGAGCTGCTGTGCCTGGAGGAGGGGTCCACGGGCTCCAGCTGGGGAGGCAGGAGGAGGCTGGGGTTGCTGGGGGCCTGGACCCGCCCCACCGTCCTCAGGCCCGGGCATCACTCACTGTATCCACGTCCACGGCTCCCTGAAGCCTCCACTTGGCCTGGTCCCGCAACACTTGCAGCCACAGCTTCACGGCAGGCAGGAATGCGGTGTGGATGCCAGCCAGGGCCAGAGAACGGCTGTCCCTGTGTTGGGAGGCTGGTCAGGGCTTGACCCCGACTTACACATCATCTGTGAGCACATTCCAGGCTCACAGCCCCAGGGGGCACCCAGGAGAGCCCCCCTCACGGCCTGGGGCTCTGGTCTCAAAGTCTATCTGCAGGAGATAGGGCCCGGGCACCCACCGACCAGGAATGCTATCCCAGAAGCGCTGGAGGTCAGCCAGGGTCAGGTAGAGCTCAAAGAGCCCCGAGGCCACCTCCAGTGTCATTTTGGGGCTCAGCTCCTCTGTCAGCACCCATGCCTCCTCAGCCACCTGTCCGGGACAGCAGAATTAGGCCACTGGCAGCAAGGAATGGTCCCTCCCAGCCAAGGGCCTCCGCCTGCTTCCGCATGCGTGGCAGACACCCAGGGTTGGGGGTGTCAGGGACCCTCCTCACCAGACGCTCCAGCTGCCGGAAAGTCAGGGTGAAAAAGTCTACACTGAGGATGCTGCCGGACAAGGGACACAACTCAGCCACCTGCGTCCCCCCTGCAGGCTCTGCTGGCCCCAACCCCAGCCCAAGGACAGCACTGAAGTGCCGGGCCTACCTGTGGAAGAGGCTGGCGTAGACACTGTAGCAGGACTGAAGGTCGTCATAGATGGCGTCGGCCAGTGCAATCAGCCCAGGCAGGCGTTGTGACCCTGACTGCAAGGAAGCCTGACTTGTACCCACTTCTCAGCTGCCCACACCCCTCAGGGCACGGTCCCTCACACCCGCACCTGCTCTCGGGGACTCTTGGCGTTCAGGATCCTGTCATACCACTCACGGTTGCCTCTCTGCAACAGACACCACCGAGACAGCATGGTGCGTTGCAGGAAAGAGGAAGAGGTGGGCCAGAGGTGCTGGGGATGGGAAGGCAGTGGGGCTAGCGGCCGACCCCCACTGGGCGTTGGAACACACCTTCAGGGCTGCAGCAACGTCCATGTTCAGCTCTGTCTCAAAGGGGCAGATCTCAAAGGAGGGCTGGAAGAACTGCAGCTTGCCCAGACACCTGCGTGGGGACAGCACGCTGATGTGGGGCCTGTACATGCCAGCCGCCCCGACCCACGCTGACACGCGGCGCTGCACCCACTTCAGCAGCAGCTCCAGGCGGTAGACAGCGGTGCTGTTGGTGGCGGGGAAGTAGTCTCGGAGCTGGCGCAGCAGCTGCAGCCCGAACTCAGAGAAAGCGGAAAAGCTGTCAGCCAGGCTCTCCTCCTGGGGGGACGGGACCTCTTCAGTGCCAGCAGCCCCGACCGGTCACGGATGAGAAGAAACGCCCTCCTTGCCTCACCCACAGCATCCTCCCTGAGGCATGGCCTGCCCAGCTCTGCCCGGAGAAGCACCCTCCGCAGGCCCAGCCCGCCTGTCCCAGCCTCAGCTTCTACCCAGGCAGCTCCGCAGGGTCTGTGCACCTGCTATTCCCATGCCGGTCCTGCGAGGGTTGCTCCCTCCTGTCGCTCAAATGGGCGCCAGCTTGGCGGCTTTCCCCAGCCCTGTCCTAAGTTCTAGTCGCCCCCCGAGGTGACTCCCACGAGTCTCCTGTCTCCTTTCTGTGGAGCCTGACTCTCGCCCACATCACGTGGTTTGTCCATATGTCTTTAACCCCAACGCGGGCAGGACTCTGCCCCTCGCCGCCCCGCACTGAACGGCCCGGTCCCCAGCACTCCCTTCCCCATGGCTGGCAGGAGGGCCCCGGCTACGCCCACCTGCTCCTGGGGCAGCGAGGCCGCCTCCTCCCAGTGCGCCTGCATGTCCTCCAGCAGCCCTAGCAGGTAGCTGTAGTCCAGCGTGTGGGTCTGATGGTGGCGGCTGCTGACCTGCCAGTACCTGTGGAGCCCAGCCCATGGTCAGGGAGCATCCAGCCCCTGACTCAAAGAACCCCGCCCCTACCCCGCCCACAGCACCACCCCTTTCCCTGCTCCACCCAATCAGCACTGCCACACCTACTCATAGCACCACCCCCTTCCCTGTCATACCAATCAGCGCTGTCGTACCTGCTCGTGGCACCGCCCCTCTCCTTGTCCCCCAATCAATGCTGCTACACCTGACAGCACCACCCTTTCGCTGCCCCACCTACTCATAGCACCGCCCCTTTCCCTGTCCCCCAATCAACGCTGCTTTACCTACTCATAGTGCCGCCCCTTTCCACGCTCACCCAATCAGTGCTGCCTCCCCTACTCATGGCACCGCCCCTTTCCCTGCTCCACCCTCCCAGTCACCACATCCACTCACCGCAGGGCCCCCAGTGCCTCACCCGCACACGCCCCACCCACTCACAACACGGCCAGCTGCAAGGGTGACAGGTTGCTCTGTGCTCCGTGCAGGCAGAGGATAGTGGCGGCTGGGGTGCTGAGCTCTCCGCGCCAGCTGCTGGAGTCGGGCTGGGGGAGGAGGCCTGGCGTGGGTGGAGGCGGGACAGCCCCCCATGCCCTCCTCAGGCCCTCTGCCGGGCTGTCCCAATCCCAGGAGCACCCCGCTACCTCCTCCGCCGGGTGCTCGCACCGCAGCAGATGGCTGAGCAGCAGCAGGTAGGACAGGAAGCCCGATCGCCCGCGGTGGCTCATGGCCGTGTCCCTCTGCAACGCAGAGCCTACAGGATCACCAGCTCCGCCCCAGCCACGAGGGCGGGGGTGGAGGCCGGGGACGCCCACTTTCCCCACCTGCGTGGTGATCAGCTTGAGAACCAGGTGGCAGTCTCCCTGCACACTCGAGGCACTGGAGCGTGGCTCCAGCTTGAACCAGCGGTCGACACCAGCCACGGGCACCTCCTGGAGGTGGCATGGGGTGGGGGGTCAGGCCCGCCAGACCCCTCCCCTTCTTCCTCCACACTGACTCTGTGAGACTCTGGAGAGAATACTCTGCCTGGGCTTCCCTTCTCCCGGGAATGTGGGTGACAGGCAGTGGTGAGCCCTCAGGACGCCCAAAAGCAGGAGCTCCTCCAGTGAGCTACCCCTTAAAGGCTGGGACACCTCCCCAGGCCCTTCCCTAAGCATCACCAGCCCCGCCCCACCCCCACTCACCCGGACAGGTATGTTGAGGCACCCCAGGAAGTCATCGGCGTGGTCCTCAGTGGGCCCCGCTGTCCCATTTGCGCGGGCTGACTTGACGATCTGTTTGAAGTACCTGGCCGCAGTGGGTGGCAGGCATCAGGCTGATGGCTCCTGAGGAGGCATCGCCTGCCAGGCCCCACGACCGAGCTGCAGACACAGGTGAGGGGGTACAAAGGTCCCCCAGCCATACCTGCTCACACCCTTCAGGCCGATGACTTCGTTCAGCTTCCTGCACGCTTCTACCAGGGACACGTCGTCATCATGATCCCTGGCAGGGAGAGAGGAGGACCTGGCTTGCCTGGAGCCCCCAGCCCGGTCCTGAGTCCATCCCGCTCCCTCCCAAGAGGTGCCCATTCCCCTCCCACCCTGCCCTGCAGGCACAGGGGCCTGTACCAGATGTCCACGTGCAGCTGGTCCATGTTCACGTCCTCAATCTCACTACAAGGAGAACAGAGAGATGCCTGTGAGGGTCCCCAGTGAGGCTCTACCCAGGCTGGGGTCGGGGAGCACGCCACATGCTCCAGCTCTCCAGACAGGCTGCTCAAGTCCAAATCCGATCCTGCTACTTTCACCAGCCGCATGCCTGGCCCCGGTGGCACACCGCCCATCTCTGGGCCTCAGTTTTCTCCTCTGGAAGGTGGGCACACAGCCCCACAGAGACCGGGAACCGCTTCAAACCACCACCTTCCAGGCAAAGCCCAGCTCTGGACCCCAGGCAGAGCCCCCCTCCTGCACCCAGATGGGGGAGGGTCTCACAAGAGGAAGTGCTCCTTCCAGACGGGGTTCAGGGTGCTGCTCTTCACCTCGGTGACCTGGATGCACTTGGCCGGCAGGGGGCTGCTGCGCTTGCTGCCCTTGCGGAAGCTGAATCGCTGCTCCTTCTGCGTACCGGGCTCCCTCGAGGCACCCGAGGCAGGCAGGATGCCCAGCATGCAGTACGGGTCGCTGAAGCCTGGGCACGGAGGGTGGCTGAGCCCCGCCCCCACACCCTCTGCCCTCCGAAGCCAAGCGGGTCGGTGAAGCCTGGGCGTGGTGGGTTGCTCTGCAGCCAGAGTCTGCTGGGGCCCCACTCACCATTAGGGTCCTTGGCCAGAAGGTTCTTGGCACGCATGACAGAGACTTTCAGGGCATATGTGGGGGCCTGTGGACAGAGGGGTATGGTGGGCCTGGTGGGCTCAGCTCCCTGCTTAGCATGGGAGTGACAGGGCCTTGCCCCATGCCCCACCATGCAGGCACGTGCTGGCCAGCGCCTGCCCAGGCAGCAGCGGCCTCACCTTGGCCTTCCTCACTCGCTCGATGGCCTCGGCGTGCTCCTCAGGGCTGGTGCCAAACACCTGTGAAGCATGGGTGGGTTAGTAGGCCTGGGCAATGCCTGAAGTGAGGCTGGCCACTGTCCTGAGACCTCGGGTTCAGCCCCAGTCACACACACCTGACCTCAATCCTCAGGGTGCAGGGGTCGGGGAGGCCTGGGAGGCCGTCTGTCTGTGCCAAGGGGCCCAGGCATGCCCGGAGGTTGTGGGCGTAATGAGGGGCACACGAGTGCATGAGCGGGAACGGGGGCGACGGGGGAGTTCAGAGCACATGCAACTGGGAGGGGCTGAGCGAGTCCTTCAAGGTGTGTCTGTCAGCCTGTGCGCATGTATGTGTGTGTGTGCGCGCGTCTGTGCGCGTGTCTGTGTGCATGTCTGTACGCGTGTGTGCCTTTGTACATGTGCAGCTGTCTGTGTGTGTAGAGCAGGGATGGGGGAGATCCTGCATGCTGTTTGGGGTAATGATGGTGTCAGTGCGTGCAGAAGGGGTCGGGGTCGGAGCTGGGTGGGCTGACCTGCCGGAGGTAGCTGAGCAGGGCCTCCTCATCATCCACCTGGTCAGGGCCCATGGTCCCGGCGCGGTAGAGCACCGTGTACAGGGCCTCCTCGTACAGCATCTCTACCTGCAGATGGGGGGATGGCGGCCACAGGGCTGTGTACCAGGCACCCCGCCCTTGGCAGCCCCTCCTCCGCCGCCTTGCACCGGGAGCCCTTCCACTCCTCACTCACCGACCCACCCCGGCTCTCCACCGTCACCAGATCCTACACACACACAGGAGCCTGTCAACGGCTGAGGGAGCGGCCGCTGCAGACCCAGCCTGGTTGGGACCCCAACTTTACCTCCTCCGGGGTCAGGGCTCTCAGGCCACGGCTGGGATCCACAGGCTCCCGGGGTGGTGGTGAGCCACTGCGCAGGGGGACCTGTGTGTGGAGCCCAGGGTGACATTCCTGAGGGTGGGGAGGGCTCCAGGCCTGCAGCTGGGAGGACAGGCGGTGCCCCAGGAGGTGGGAGCAAGGGCAGGGGGAAGGGGGGAAGAGGAGGGGGAGCCGTGTGCGGGTGCCATGTAGGGCTCCAGGGATGCCATCCTCACCTCCGGGCATGGCAGGCCCTGTCTGCCTTCCCCCTTCTTCAGCATGAGGCGCATCTGGGCGAAGAACTCCACGCCATCCCCCGGTTTCCTGGAAGAAGGGCTAGGTCAGCAGGCAGCTCTCGGCACGGCGGCCCCTGCTTGAGACCCTTGACTCCAGGGGCAGGTGGGGCCACGTGACGTCCACAGGGTAGCATTGCTGAGCGAAGACCCTCCTTCCCGCCCAGGGGGCCAGGGCCGGGGCGGCAGTGTGTGAAGTCTGGCGGGAAACGACCCTGTGACCATGTGGGGCTGGGCCCCTGGGCACCCACCAGGCCCCCGTGGCCGGCTCCTGCGGGTTGGCGCTGGCACTCCCTGGGTCCTGCTCAGCCCTGCGGCGGAAGGACGGGCACACCTGCACCTGCCTGAGCACGCTGCTCTTGATGTCCAGCAAGGTCGACATGGCGGCCTACGGCAGAGAGCACGGCCCACAGCCTCAGGTCGCCCACTTGATCCTCCGAGCACCACAGAGGCCACAGCAGGCCTGGGGGCAGGGCGGAAGAGGCTGGCAGAGGCCCAGGCCGGGAGCTCACCCACGGCCTGGAAGGCACTGGGCACTGTCCCCACACCCACTGGGTGACCTGCTAAGCACCCCCATCTCCTGCAGGGCAGCTTTGGGGAGGAGGCAGCGGATGCTGTGGAAGGTGGGGCTGGTGCCCACCCAGTGCCATCCGGGGGCTTCTGGGATCTCACTGGAGAGGGAGGTGCTTGCCACCCCTGCCCCGACACCACAGCGGGTGGTGGCGTCTGTCTCCTGGGGCTTCACTGAGAGACCTGGGCAGCAGCGCGTGGCTCCCACAGCCCTCGTGCCCACTCTGGGGTCAAAACGGATGTCAGGCACCCAGGTCTCCTACACAGGAGGTAAAAATATCGCTAGATATTTGACATCCCATATGACAGAGGATCCTGGTGAGAACGGCCCGTGAGACTTCGTCACCTTGACAGCACGGGGGCCGGTAGCCTGGGCTGTAGCCCTCATGCCCAGGTAGGGCAGCCAGTAACTGCCATGGCCAGGAGGCCCTGGAGGGGGCTGCCCAGGGGTCCTCGCTCGCCAAGCACGGTGGGGGTCAGTGCCCCCCTCCTTACCCCAGAGGCTGGTCAGCAAACCTGGGGTGGATAGGGGAAGGTGGGGGCAGTACCCCCGCGAAGCAGGGCCTCCTCCCCACAGTTGGTACAAAGGAGAATATGAATCGAGCCGGGCCCCACTGGAAAATGCCAGGCGTGGGGGCCACAGCTCCTGCTCCCTTCCGGTCCATCTGGCTTCAGTTACCCTCACGTTGCCAGGGCAACTGAGCCACCCTGCAGCCTTCTGCTTAAAGCAGCAGCTGGGACAGAGGTGCCCTCTCCTGAGGCCTCGAGCCTGGGCCCAGCCAGACCCCTGCCCAGAAGCCTCCTGGAAGGTCCCACCCACTTTTGTTTTGTTTTGTTAAGATGAAGTCTCACTCTGTTGCCCCAGCTGGAATCCAGTGGTGAGATCTCGGCTCACTGCAACCTCTGCCTCCCAGGTTCCAATGATCCTCCTGCCTCAGCCTCCCAAGTAGCTGGGATTACAGGTGCTTGCCACTACACCTGGCTAATTTTTTTGTATTTTCAGTAGAGACGGGGTTTCATCATGTTGGCCAGGTCGGTATAGAACTCCTGACCTCAGGTGATCCACCTGCCTCAACCTCCCAAAGTGCTGGGATGACAGGTGGGAGCTACTGACACCCAGCCCGCCTGTCAGGGAGGAAGGCCGGGTAGTACCAACCTGCACAGCCCCTTCAACGGGGGCAGGATGATGGCTAAGATATCATAGGCTCCTGAGACCCTCTTCCTCCACACCACGAAGCCCAGGCACTGCCTCTGCCCTGCATGGCCCCCCAGCAGCCCCAGGGAGGTCCCCTCCATCCTCTGTGAAGACTGTCCCAGAGCCAGGCTCTGCCCCACCGCAAGAGATCTGCCCACTTGGGCTCCCATCCCAGCCTCCCGGCCTGATTTCCAGAACACAGCACTCTCCCAGGTCTCCAAGGCCCTGGCCTCACGCTCTTGGTCCCTTGCCTTGCCAGTGCTGTCTCGTCCACCTCCGGAGGGCGCCCTCTGGGCTGGGCACACTGGCCCGTCATTCTCATGGGACAGGAGAGGTGACGAAGACCCAGCAGGTTCCACCGCTTGCCGAGGATCTCACAGACAGTTGGCGGTAGGAGCCAGGTTAGCCCGCCCCACCCTGTGTGCCCAGGCCAGCTCCCCGGGGCTGCACCAGACTCATCAGCTCAGTGGGCAGCTCGGGGGCCCAGGCACGCTGGGTTCTAAACAGACCTTGTGGAGCCAGCTCCCAGGCCCCTGCTGCGTCTGGGCCTGGGAGCTGGGGGTTCAGGGTCACCAGCCCCAATCTGTACCCACACCAGCTCAGACACCATTCCTGGACATATCCTAATTCCAGGGTCCCTGCAAGTCCCCGAGCCCTGGGTGCCAGCTCTCACGGGGCCAGACCCTAGAGCTAAGGACAGGAAGGAGGGTTTGTAGTGCCCACTTTATGAGGAGCAACACTTCGGGGGGCCTTACCTCCTTCAGACCTATCAGTGCCTTCCCCTGGGAGCCTCCCCCAAAGATGGGGGGCTCGGTGGGCTGGGTACAGTGCTTCTAGAAGCTGTCACTCCCACAGCCAGCAGTGAAGTCCCCAAGGGCTTGGGAGTAACAGACCCCCCTTTCTTTCCCTTGCTGGGTGGAAGAGGCTGCCCCCCCAACAGCCCCCCAAAGCCAGCAGAGTCGCCGCTGCTGAAGCTGTTGCCAGGGCAACCGCCGACAGCCTGTGCGTGTGACGGGGCGATGGGGGCTCGCGGTCCTGGAGACAAATGTGACGCAGGAGCTAAGCGGCCTGAGCTGTGGGGATGGGGAGGGGGTGTCTTTGTGGGAACAAGATGTTCCAGGCAGGAAGAGGGGGCTCGGTGCCTCCCCACATTTTCCTCTCCACACACCTCCTCATCCCCAGAGTGGCCCAAGAGGGGTGCCCTCTGCTCCCTGCGTCTCAGATGGGCAAATGGGGGCACGGGAATGGGAGCCCATCTAAGGTCCCAGAGCCAGCAAGTGGGGCCAGGAACTGCTGTCCAGGTCTCTCTGGTGTCCCCAGTGCTAAGCTCCTGGGACAACCAGCTGGGCTGGCTGTCCTGACCCTAACTGCAGCTCCGGCCCCTCCTGCAGCCTGTTGCTAGGATGCCGGCAATGGCGGCGTCTTGGCACAGGTGTATAGAAGACTTGGCTCATCCTGGGTGTGCAGAAACCCCTTTGGTTCCCCTGGACACCCCAGGCTGCCTGCGAGCCACCTGCCACAGAGGCCTTGGACCATGTCCCCATCAGGGACTTCATCCAGAGCTACTGTGAGTCATGGGCATACACCTGTCACCCCCGTGCATCTGTCTGTCACCAGTATGGGAAGTACTGGCTGCCTGGGTGGCTCTCAGCACTTATGGGGCAGTGGTGAGCCAGGTGCAGAGGACCCCCCATCTCTCCCGAGGGCCTAGATGTGATGTGACTCCTTCCCAGCCTCTCAGCCTGGGACAGTAGCACAGGGCAGCATGAACCCATACTCTGCTCATGCCCAATGCCAGGGCCAGGACCCCACTCCCATCGGTCCAGTGAGCAGAGGGAGGACCGCCAGGGAGCTCCTGCCTTCTGGGCACTGGGGCTGAGCCACACACGCCCGTCCCGTTCCACCACGCTCCCTGGCTGTCCCCCAGGCCTGGGCTGAATGGGGAATGACATTTTGCAAGGAGGACGGCACGTCTCTTTTCACAGCCCAGGGCAGGGACCACTTGCCCAGAGCCCCAGATGTGAACCTGGGACTCTCAAGCCAAGCCGTCTCCTGCCAGGCCATTTGGGGGTTGGGGGCAGGGAGCAGTGAGACAGCAGAGCCTGGGGGCAGCAGAGCAGAGGCTGGGTCAGCCTTCCTCCCTAGCGCAGGGTGTCCATGAACAAACGTTTTCAACCTTTCAGCCTTTCTTACCACATTTAGGGCAGGGGGGTGGCGGATGGCGCCCTGGGTGTGTGCCTGTTGGGGTGGCAGGATGTGTGCCCACAGGCTGGCACCCCGCGCCGCCCTCCTGGTCTTCCCTCCTCTTCAGCTTTCCTGCCTGTCCTCCCTCTGCCCCTTCACCAGGCCCTGCGGGCTTCCGGCGGGCATCCTCCCTGATCTCACTGACTCTTCCAGACAGCCATGCACGCGAGGCAGCGCCCAGGCGCAGGTCACCTGGCGACCCCTACAAACGCTGCTCCTGTGGTCTCATTCCAGTCGAGCCCTGGGAATCTGCATTCTAACAAGCGCTGCCGGTAGCCTGGGGCTCCCTGAAGCCTGAGACCGGCTGCCAAGGTCCGGCCGCCGGCGCCCACCAGGGGCGCCAGAGACCAGAGCCCGCGGGCCTTGCCACGGGTCACCTGTGTCGGCGCAGCGCCCCCGCCTCCGTCTGCTCACCGCCCTCCCCTCTGCCCCACCTCGCTGCACCCGTTTCTGGGACTCCGGGGCTGTCGGCGCCCCGGGAGCTGCACCCCCAGCTCTATGGGGGTCTCTCTCCTTGGAGGGGAGTTTGGGAGCGGGACTGGTGTGTCATTTTAAACTCCTACCCCCGAGAGCCCGGCCCAGGCGGGAGCCCACAGCCCCTTGCGGAGCGGGGCTGAAGGAGGGGCGAGCTTGCACTAGGAAGGATTCTGGGGGGACTACAGGGCCCTGCGGGGACCCGCAGGGAACGGGAGGGACGAGGGCTCCGGTGGACGCGGCCCGCCCAGGAGGGGTGCTGGGACGCCGGGGGCCCGTCTGCTCTCCTGGGGAGGAGGCGCGGGGGTCGAAGCCTCGCTTGGCGGCCCAAGTTCGGGGGAGGCAGTCCCTGGCGCCCCGATACCCTCCCAGTCCCTCCGCAGTGCGGACCTGCGCGCTCGGACGGGAAATCCCCCGAGAGCCCGCCCCTCCGAGGATACGCGGCCTCAGTTTCCCCAGGCCCGAGGGGGGAAACTTCGAGACCTTCCCACCGCCCCCCACGCCTGGGCGACCCGGGCCGAGGGGGCGGCGGCCGTCGGTGGTCCGGGTGCCGGCGCGGGGCCGAGCCCCGACGGCGGCCCAGCGGCACCGGCTGCAGCCCGCGGCACTCACCGTGGGCCGGGCGCGGGGAGGAGGGTTCCTGGGGCGCTGCGCTCGGGCACCGGCTCGGGGACGCCGAGGCACAGCGACCGCTCCCAGCCGCGCGCGCGGACGACTGAGCAACAGCGGGGCGGACCCGCGGCGGGGGGCGGGGCGGGACGGGGCCGCGGCGGGGGGCGGGGCCTGGCCGCACTCGCCCCGCCCACGGCACCTGGTTCGACCCTGCCCCCCGCGCCCAAGGCGCCCGACTGGACCCGGCCGGGGTCCCTGCGCCCGAGCCGGGCTGGAGCCCCTCCCCCGGGGTGCGGGGCTGTCAGTCAACCCGCAGGTGGCTGCGGGGCTTTCAATCAACCCGCAGGTGGCCGCGGGGCTCGGCTGCCTCTGGACCCCGCCTGGCCGCGCGCGCCCTCCCGCGACGCGTGGGGGCTGGGAGGGGTTTTCGGCAGAGTCTTCTCCGCGGAGCCCCCGGGAAGCCGGAGCCACCAGTACCGGCCACGGCGCAGACCTTTCTGGAAGCGCCTGGCTCAGGGACCCTGCCTCTCTCTTCTCGGGGCGGGGGTGTGTTCTGTAGGGATCCACTCGGGACGCCCCGCGCCCACGCGGACGGCCGGGGGCGATCGTCCCGGGGGCTCTGGTGAGGGCCCAGTCGGGCACTTGTGGAGTCACAGCCGGCCCGAGCCCCTGGGGTCTAAACTGGACCCCGCAGGCCCCTCCCGGGCCGCTCCCCACCCTCCCTCTGCCGCACGGTCCTCGAATCCCGCCCCCGCGAGCCCGCGGTCTCCCGCAGGGCTTGTTAAGGCATTGATGGGTCCCGCCCCCAACTCTCTGGTTCCCAAAGTCTGGGCTGGTCCGCGATCTGCATTTTTTCCCCTCTTTTGAGACCGAGTCTCAAAGAAGCTCTCAAAAAAAGCTCTCAACCAGGCTGAAGTGCAGAGGCGCCATTTCGGCTCACCGCAGCCTCGAACTCTGGCTCAAGTGATCCTCCCGCTTCAGCCTCCCAAGTAGATCCACCTGCCGGCTAATTTTTTTTACTTGGGGAGATGGGGTGTGTGTGTGGGGTCTCCCTACGTTGCCCAGGCTGGTCTCGAACTCCTGGGCTCAAGGGATCCCTCTTCCCCGGCCTCCTGAGGCGCTGAGATCGCCGGTGTGGCCCCGCGCCCGCCCGGCTAGCACCTGCACTTCCCAGCTCCCGCCTGCTGCTGCTGCGGGTCCGGGGACCACACTTGGAGAACTCCGGGCTAAGAACTGCCCTGGGCATCCCAAGGCTCTCGGACTTCCTGAGGGTGCAGCGGCCCCTGGATCCCCACCTGCGCGTGGACGGATACCGCTGAACACTCACAGCCCTTTGGGGATGTGGGGGGCAGACTTGGGAGTTTTCACCCAAAAGGGCACATTCCTAATGGTGGAGCTCCTGCCTCGTGAGTAGCAGAAAGGCAGGCCTGGGGCCCACCCCAGCTCAGGCCCAGAGGCAGGAGGGGCGCACTCGGGGGCCGCTGGGGTGGGCTGGGCTGGGCTGAGGGGCAGCCCAAGGCCAGATGGGCTTCCAGAACACAGCTCCTCAAAGGGAGGGGGCCAGTCTGCCAACAACTGGCTTGGCTTCTGGGTCCCCACTCACTCACATCCATGCCCTCCCCGCCCCTGTCTGCAGAGTGGGGGCAGGACTGCCAGGTGGGCTCTCCAGGAAGCTCCTCCCCGGGCCCTGCCTCAGCCTGACCCAGCACATGCAGGCCGGTTCGGGAGGGCAGGGAGTGTACAGGGACTGCCTGAGATAGGGTGCAGCGGGGAAGCAGGGGAGGGGGCTGGGCCCTGAGCCCCAGTCTGCAGCAGCGTCCCTCCCAAGGGGCTGGCTCCCTCCCAAGGGGCTGGCGGGTCTGAAGCCTCGGTCTGGGAGTGACGCCCCCGCCTCTGCCGTCTTGCACCAGGTTCTGCCCACCTGTTGGAACAAACACGGGCCGGTTGCCATGGCGATCACACTGGCTTTGGGCGAAGGGACAGGCTCTGCCGCTGCAGTAAACAGGAAGTTGGGAGGGGCGGCCGCTGCTCAGCCCCAAGAGGGCAGCAGCCCTGAGACCTACACGGCCGTCCCTCGGGGGTGGGAGCACCCTTGGAGACCCCTCTTCTCTCTTATAGGTAGGGAGACTGAAGTCCGGAGATGGGAAAGGGCTTTTCCAGGGCCACAGAGTCACAGGCTGAGTCCCAGAACAGCCCTGGGCCTCGGTTTCCCCAGGACAGGATGGTCCCTCAGACTCTCCCCTCCACAGATGTTCAGTGCGAAGTCACCGGATGAACGGCTGAGTGATGTCCCACTCAGTGACCATGCCTTCACTTTGTGAGGCTGAAATCAGGCTAACTTGGGTCAAAGTCCTGGCCTTCTGCTCACCCCAGCCCCAAGGTGACCCTCCACTGCCTGTGCCTCAGTTTCCCTCATTTGTAAGATGGGGACAACAGCAGCGCCCACCTTGGGTGCAGGTGTGGGAGCCTCAGTGAGCCAATCTCAACTCACAGCAGCTCAGCCTCAAGTCGCAGTTGGTGGGGGTGGGAACTGCAGCCCCCCCCAGCCAGAGCTCCGGCCCCTTCAGTGACCCAGTTTACCTTTCTGTAGCCCATCCTTACATGAGTCCCTTCCCACTAAGAGAGAGGGCAGGAGAGGGGGCCGCTCACCCTCCCAAACCCGAGCCCAGGCCTTACTCTGAAGGGGCGCCTCTGGGCTCAGATCAGAGTGCAGACAGCTGCGTGCTCCAGGGACAGTGAGGGGCAGTGCAGGTGCAGGAACGCCTCCCTGCAATGTGTTGGGACACAAGACCACCTGCCCAGACGGGGTCAGAGCCTGGGGAGGCTGTCAGGACACGGCTGCATGTGCAAAGCTGAGCAAAGCCGCTTTTCAAGCCTGGTTCTTTTCACATTCTCAGGACTTTGTGCTGGGAAGGGTCTGGCAGGCAGGGAGGGCAGCTTTTTCTGCTCAGGGCTGTCGAAGAAACAGGCTCTGGGTACACAGGCTACACGGCTGCTGAAGCAGGCAGGTGAGGTCATGGCAGGTCAGACGCCCACTCCTGTTCCACACTCATGAGCACAGTGCACAGCCCGGTGCTACCGCCCTCTGGTGCCAGCCCTAGGAATTGCAGGCACAGCCACCCAGAAGTCCCCACCCCCACTCCCCTCTGAGGACCCAAGCAGGGAAAGGAAGGGCCAAGGAGAGCTCATGGGGTCAGCCCAGGGACTCTAGCCAGGGACCCTGCCTGCCATGGAGCTGCAGGACCCTGCAGACTGCCAGAACCTGTTCCTTGCCCCTACTGCCCCTGGGGTAGAAGTGCCTGAGCAAGAGAGGGGCTCTGGGCAGGAAGGCCCCGGCCTGGGTCTGGCCTCACGCCGAGATGCTGGCTCCTGGAGTGCCATCTCTAGAGTCCGCCCCGGCAGCTCTGGGGGTCTTGCTACTGCGATGGCACAGGTGGAGCTGGCTGGAGGTGACCACCCGGTGCCACACTGTGGTTCGCTCAGGCCTCCGTGCTACTGCAGCGTCTGTGAGGGGTCTAGGGCGGGGTGGGGGCAGAGAGGTGGGCCCACCAAGACCCCTAACAAAGGCCACTGGTGTGCCAGAGCCCAGCAGGCAGGACAGCCTCTGCTGCCGTGAGGCCTGGATGGCAGGCAGGATGGCCCCCTGTCCCTTGGCCAGGCTTCCCAGCAGCCTGAGGGTGGGGGTGTCAGAGGCCTCTTCCCCAGAGGCGGGCTTCTGTGCTCTCCGTGGTTAGGTGCCCAGCAGGGAGAGGCCAGGCCCTCTGCATGCATCGTTCTGTGTGGAACTGGTGGTAGAAGGCAACTCCTCCCGGCCTGGGGGCTTCAGTCCCTCCTTAAAGGCACAGCCCAGGCCAGACGTGATGGCTCACGCCTGTAAATCCCAGCACTTTGAGAGGCCAAGGTGGGCAGATTACCCGAGGTCGGGAGTTGGAGACTGGCCTGATCAACATGGAGAAACGGAGTAAAAACACAAAATTAGCCTGGTGTGGTGGCAGGCGCCTGTAATCCCAGCTACGTGGGAGGCTGAGACAGGAGAATCGCTTGAATCCGGGAGGTGGAGGTTGCGATGAGCCGAGATCTAGCCAGTGCACTGCAGCCTGGGTAACAAGAGCGAAACTGCATTTCCAAAAAAAAAAAAAAAAAAAAAAAAGGCCCTGCGCGCACGACGGAGTGGGAGCTTGCCTTCCTCGGTGGAGGGCATCCTGGAGGAAGGGCAGAGGCCCAGGGAAGGAAGAGGCCAGGTCGAACACGCCCGTGGTTTTCTCGTGCCCATTCCTGTTTTTTCCTAAGAGCTGGATAAACTGGCCTCCTGGGAGATGTGGGAGTCTTTGGGCCAGGCTAGGCCAGAGACAGGCATGGTAGATGGGACCGTTGCCCCAGCCCCCTCCCACCCAATGGGCCAAAGCCAGGAGCGCCCACCCCAACTGGGCCAACCGCTTCCCTAGACCAGGCTGTGCCTGGGGGTTTCAGGCACCTGCTGGCATCTCCCGAGCAGGTGCATCAGGACGCCCCGGACCCAGAATCAGGGTAGCCTGGGGATGAATCCCAAACCCAGCACTCCCAGGCCCCTCCCTGCTAGAGCTGGCTCAGACCAGCTGCAGCCAGTCTGAGTCAGTGCAAGGCCCTCGAACCTGGCAAATCATCGTCATGGCAACCACAAGGGAGGCTTCGGGTCTGGGAAGGTGAGAGGGCCGGGGACCAACAGCCTGGCCAGGAGCCCGCGTTCCCGGGGGCAGTGGCCAGCAGGGTGGCCGCATCGCTTAACCTCCTCCTCCAGTCCCGCCAGACCCAAGTCCCAAGGGACCTGAGACACGGAAGGCAGGTGTGGCCAGCCCGACCCCCAAAGCCAAGGGAGGGCTCCCCCAGCGCCAGCTCAGGCCTGGCTAGCCTGTCTGCGGGGGGCTGGGCTCCCTGCACCTGTGCACCGGCCTCCTATCTGGGGGCTCCAGCCAGCTCTGGATGGGCCCTGTGAGGAGAGGTCTCTGCACACCTGGGGGGGTCCCTGTTTTCCAGGAGGTCCCCTGCCAGGGGCAGCCAGAGCAGCCTCGAGTCCCAGGGGGAGACCCCTAAAGCAGGCCAGGGAGGTGTAGGCACGACCGTGAGGCTGGGTTTCACCTTGGCTAGAGGGGCTGTCACCCAAAGGGGCTGACGCTGGGCTGGAGGCAGGACTGGAAGTGAACCCTGGGGGGCGCGGCAGCCCTGGCCCACCCCACCACAGCCCAGAGGACCCGGGAACAGGGCAGCAAAGGACACACCCAGCAGGCGGCAGTCTGTGCAAATGCTTTTATTGGTGGATTCTCAGATACAGTGGTTAACCCGTTGCCCACAATTCTCACTAATTCAGAGGCACCTCGTGCTGGGAACACACCTTCCCTTCCATCAAACAAACGACCGCGTTTCAGAGCTGTTACAAGGTCCACGTCCCCCAGAGGCCGAGGACTGTGGGACTACAGAAGGAGCATTTCCTTGGCCGACGTCACTACAATCGGCTAGAAACATCCGGTCCGTTAGAATACATTAACTATAAAATATATTGAATTTCCATATATATGAACCGTTTACATGTGTGACTAATCCTAAACGTACTTCAGTCATACAAAATAAGACATTCTGGGAGTGGGCTACAAATATTCAAAGCGGCTAAATTCCCCAGGTAAGGCCCCCTGCGTCATCAACGCGCCGAAAACAGCCGAGAGCTCAGCGCCCTGGCCCTGCAGAAGCCGGGAAAGCAAACGAGGCACTCACTCCACTCGCACCGCAGCGCCGCCCGGAGGAGGGCGCCAGGCTCCCCATCCCGGGCCCTGGGCCGCCCTCCCTTGCACTCTCTGCACCCACCCCGCCCCCTTGGGACCCAGCTCCAGCCGCAGGGGTGTGCCAGGGCAACAGGGCCAGCTCCAGGCCCAGAGCTCAAAATAAGACTGAGGAGGGCCAAGCTCGCCAGGATGGGGAGACCGGGTGGGGCCCTGAGGGCCGGGGGTACATCCCTCAGGCCTTCCCGTCTCTGTCCATTGTAACTTCCTGCTGCGCGGCGACCGGCGAGGCCACTTCCTATGATGGCTCAATGCCAGGGCTGCTTCTGAGGGGCACAGCCTCCCTGGGAGAGACCACTCAGGTGGCATCAGGACAGAGAATTCCGGACACAGGCTGCCCAGGGCCCTCTACCTGGCACTAAGGGTCAGGGAAGCCCTGGAAGGGCCAGGCTGTGGGCTCTGCTGGAGGACACACCGTGCGTTGGCTGGGGTGGTAGCAAAGCTGCCTCCTGAGGGCGTGAGGGACAGACACCCGAGGTGGTGCCCGTGACGCAGCCACTGAGGGGTAACCTCAAAAGCAGTCCTCATGCAGCCTCAGCCCTGGTCTGGCCCTGGCCCTGTGGCCCCCAAGACAGCTGGCACCAGGGCACCCCTGCCAGGGTCTCTCCGGCCAGAAGCTCTGGGGTGGGGAGCGCCCCAGCAGCACGGTCACAGTCCTATTTACAAAGATCCAGGGCAAGAGGGGGCCACGCAGCCTGGGCGTCTTGGCAGCAGACGGGAGAGCCGGGTCCTGGCCCTGGGGGCGGGGGCTGCAGTCGGGAGGGGAGGGCCAGGCTCTCGGAGGCCACCTCCTCACACTTTCAATGACGATAATGCAACCAAAACCTTTATATAAACAGTTTATTTACTCTAAACAGCAACACAGACAAAACGCCATATAAACACAAAGGAAGTGACGCAGAACGGAGAGGCGGCTGACCTGGGATCTGAGGCTTGAAAGCAACACAGCCCAGGCCCTAGAGGAGCGGCGGAGGGAGGGCGCATTTCCAGACAGCCAGCCGGGGCGAGGTGGAGCTCTGCACGGTGAGAAGCATGCCTGCGTCCGAGAGCGAGGGCTCGCTCCTGGGGACTTACCCAAGTATAAAAGTTTATCATTTTACAGCAGTTGAAATACTGACATCAATATTAAAATAAAAGCAAGTTTTACATAACAATCAAAATACAAAAGACTGAAGGAAGAGACCCTGTATGAAAAACGGGCAACTGAGCGAATCGAGACTGCGGACCGCGGCGGCAATGGAAGATGGCGCCCGCCCAACCCCCCCCAGGCGACTCGTCATTGTACGGAGCAACTTTAGATTTGCAAAAGTGTTGTAAACAAGTTCTTGCCAAACCAATCCCTTCCTTTCTGGAGGCCGCAGGCCGCTGCTTATGAGGGCGCGAACTTCTTGGCTTGTGCTCGGACCCTCTTCTCATACTCCACTCTGTTTTGGCTGAGGGGGTCAAAAGACAAGAGCAGTTAGGAGGAGGCGCAGCCCCCGGCCTGCACGCTCACCCCAGGCCGGCTCGGCTCGGCTCGGCTCGGCTCGGCTCGGAGGACGCGGCCTCCTGGGGGAGTGTGGCGCGGAGCTCGTCCACGTGACAGAAGCAGGGAGGCCTGCGTGGCGGGAGCCCAGGCTGGCGCTGATGAGGCCGAGACCAGCCTGTGGTCTGAGAGGGATGGACGGGCAGGGAGGAGAGAACAGCGCTGGGTGGCGTCGGAGTGGAGGGCACAGGCCCCACGTGGCTCACGCCGCCAGAGTGCCTGCACCATCAACACCAGTGCCCACAGTCTATCCTAACTAGCCATCAGCAGCTTCTCTTTTCTGTAAGTCTAGGAACAGAGCTAATACATTAAAAGCACTGACTGCTTGCCGCTGTTAATTCCCAAAACAGAAACTAACCTCTGGAGGGCTCTCCCAGGAGGCTCTCAGCCCCGGGGTACGGTGTGTGAAGGCAGGCCTGGCCCAGAAGGGGCTGTACCCGAGCTGGGCGGTACCGGGACACTGGGGAACAGGACTGGGGCTGGGTGGAGGGAGGCTTGGCCTGGGAAAGCTGCCCAGGAGGGCAAATGGCACACACTGCCTGGGCAAAACAGGTCTGTGGGAGGGTGGCCAAGGCTTTGCCTGGGGGCTGATGGGCTGCAGGGGCAGCTTGACCTTGAGGACCACGGGAACACCACGACACTTACGGAGGTGGCTCCTGGCAGTTATCACCAGGACTGGAGGTGGTCTGAAACCCTGAGCTGAGCCAGGCATGGTGCAGAGCGAAGGCCAGCAGCCCAGGATGGCACCAGGGCGGGTGCCATTCCCACCCAGGCCAAGAGGCTTGGCCACACTTTCCCAGCCCTGCCTTTACCAAGCAGGGGCCCCATGAAGAGGTACCTGCCAGGGCAGGAACGCAGCCCAAGGCTACCAGGAAACCCAGGAAAGAGGATCTGAAACCCGGCAGCCCAGCAAGCCCAGGCCCAGGAGACCCCGGTGGAGTCACACGGCGGACGGCAGCCCCGCCAGCCCATGCCACAGCCCGGAGCCACGGCCCAGCTCTGGAGGCGGCTGACAAATACGGCGCAGGCCAGACGTGGCCCACGCTCACACGATGCTGGCGACAGCAAACCAGCTGAAGGCCAGACAGGAAAACATTTGCTTTTTCATTTTTTTGAGATAGGGTCTCACTTTGTCGCCCTCCCACCTCAGCTTCCAAAGTGGCTGGGACCACAGGCGTGCACCACCACGCCCAGCTCAGTTTGTTTTTGAGAGGGGGCCTTCTCACATTGCCCAGGCTGGTCTCCAGCTCCTGGTCTCAGGCTATTCTCCCGTGGCAGCCTCCCAAAGTGTTGTGATTACAGCCGTGAGCCACCACACCTGGCAAATTTTTTTTTAAACTTTTTATAGAGATGGGGGTCTCACTATGGTGCCCACTCTGGTCTTAAACACCTAGGTTCAAGTGATCAACCTGCCTTGGCCTCCCAAAGTCATGGGATTACAGGTGTGAGCCACGCACTTGGCCTAGGAAACGTTTTCTGACCAGGGATGGTGGCTTATACCTATAATCCCAGCATTTTGGGAGGTAAGGAGACGGATCACCTGAGGTGAGGAGTTCCAGACCAGCCTGATCAACATGGAGAAACCCTGTCACTACTAAAAATATAAAAAATTAGCTGGGTGTGGCAGGCCATGCCTGTAAACCCAGGTACTCAGGAGGCTGAGGCAGGAGACTCGCTTGAACCCGGGAGGCAGAGGTTGCAGTGAGCTGAGATTGCACCATTGCAAAAAAAAAAGCCAGGCGTGGTGGCACATGCCTGTAGTCCCAGCTACTCAGGAGGCCGAGGCAGGAGAATTGCCTGAACCTGGGAGGCGGAGGCTGCAGTGAGTGGAGATTGTAACCCTGCACTCCAGCCTGGGCGATAAGAGCAAAACTTAGTATAAAAAAACAAACACCCAGTTTTCTGCCTCAAGGGCCATGTGGACACCCGTGAAGACTGTGGCTTCCTGCCCGAGGGAACACGTTTCACGGAACTCCTAGCGCACAGCAGGCCAGCACACAAACCCAAGTCACGCCATGTCCCACGAGCCAGCTCCAGCAACGGCTCAGCTGACAGAGCGGCTGTGGGGCATGCAGGGGAGCCAGGCTGAGGCTGGGGTGACTGCTGTGACACTTGCTCCCTGCCTGGGGCCTCTCTGCCACCCTCAGCCACCAGGGAGGGCACCCTGCAGACACTGGGACTAGGCCTGAGTCCAGGGAGAAATGCATCTCTCCAGAACCAGGGCCTGCCCTCAGGACCTGGTCAGGCCCGGCTTAGGGCAGCCGGGATCCCTTGGCCTCCTCGTTCTGACCAGGAGATACCCTTGGAAGGAGCAGGCCTCCAACCCTATGGTTGCAGGGATGTGTGGGGTGGCTGCTGGGTAAGCCCTCTGGGTACCTGGTTGCTGGGGCCCCCGGGACCCCCTCAGAGGTGTGGGGACATGCGCTGAGATGGGGCTGGGTTTCTCAGTGTTGCAGTGGGAGTCAGAGCCCCCGACCCACCTCCTTGCGGACCTGGCCAGAGCAGCTGCAGAGACGGCCCGAGGGCTGGGGACAGGACAGGCAGGGCACAGCCTCTGCTCAGGGCAGGCTCCTCCCTGCCATCCCCAGCACTGTCTGGCTGTCGTCTGCGTCGACTCACACCAGGCCCTTGGTGCAGATGGTGCCCCAGGACCATGGGGACCCTTCTAATCACAGCAGCACCTCACAGGGACAGGGTGGAGCCGGTGCCCGTGTGGCATGCCCTGAGGGGCTGGCCTCACACACAGGAGACTAGTGGGGACGGGACAAGCAGCAGGGGTGGCGCGGGGGGCCGAGCCCATGGACAGGCCCCTCAGCGTAGCCTCCGCCGCCACCCGCGCCCAGGAGCCTTCCCTCCTAGCTGGCCACGACTCACTGGGGCTGTGGTCGAAGACTGCTCCTGTCACTTGGCCTGCTCCCGCTGCAAAGAGGGCTCCGGGGCTGCCCATGCCCACCGCAGACCCTGTGTACAGCGGTGCCTGCCGCCCACAGGGCTTATGCCGACCCTCGCCCCAGAGGCGCGGATCCTGGCCGTCTCTAGCGTGAGCCTGTGTGCCCCTTCCCCTCCGGCCAGGCGGCCTCAGCGGGGATGCAGGGAGCTCCCGCCGGCGGCGCCAGGGCTGCTACCTACCAGTAAATCGTGTAGGCCTCTGCTTGAGCTGGGTCTTGGATATTTGGTTCATTTAGAAGTTCCTGTATTCCTAAAAGAATCTGTGCCAGAGACAAAAACACACGACGGGTGTGAGCAGTCTGAAAAGGAGACACTCGCAAGGCGGTTTCAGCCAGAGCGACTGCAGACCCGCGCCTCCGGGGGGAGACTGAGGCAGCCCTGGCGTGCAGGCAGCAGCCCCATCCGTACCTGTTTGATTGTGATGGCTGGCCTCCAGTCCTTGTCCTCCTCTAAGATGGACAGGCACACTGTCCCCGAAGGGTACACATTTGGGTGAAATAACGGTGGTTCAAATTTACCTGGAGAACGAGGAAGGAAGCACTTTGTAGAGGCAGGCACTGTCCAGAATCGCCCTCCTCTCAACACTGGGGCACTGGGTCGCCAGCTAGGTATTTGGCCAAGAACTTTTTTTTTTTAAGACGGGGTTTCACCATGTTGGTCAGGCTGGTCTTGAACTCCTGACCTCAAGTGATCTGCCCACCTTGGCCTCCAAAGTGCTTGGATTACAGGCGTGAGCCATCATGCCTGGCCTGGCCAAGAACTTTTCAAAAAAAAAAAAAAAAAGAACCGTGGCCATGAGGGAACGAGGAAGAAACATCCACCTCTGCACCCAGGGAACAGGGCCACAGAACAGGGCAGGGCCTGGGGGACACGGCCACGGGCCAGACATGACGCTGTGTCTCTCCTGGGATGGAACTCTGGGCACAGCCAGGCAGACAGGGAACAGCAGCCCCAGTGTGGCCGCTTCACCTGCAGCCCCAGGTCCTACCCAGCTGGGCCAGACTCAGGGGAGACGGGAGGAGCTGCAGGAGGCTTCCAGGGAAACAGCCAGGCTCTTCGAGAGTCAGCAGCTTCGACACAGACCCCCTGCTTCCACAGCACACAGGCTTTGGGACCCTGTGTTACTTCTTAAGAAAAAGCAGAAAAGTCTACCACCATTAGCCCCATCTGGGACCATCTTTCACCAGGGCCTTCTCCCACTTCTCTCAATGCTATTTACTGACACACAGTGCAGGAAGGCTAGCGGAATTACCAAAAAGACAATGCCCACGAACATCCACGTCTCCGCAACACTCGCTCCTACCGACCACTGTGCCTGCCCCAATCCCAACGCCAGCATCTGCAGGCAGCTTCCTGGACCTCAGGTACCATGGAGAAGCGCAGGACACGCTCCTTGGGGAATGCAGCGAGGGTACCACCGCAGACCGCCCCACTGTAAACCATCCCACGCTGAAGGAGCCCACGGGCGACACTAGCAGCTGCACAGCGGTCCTGAGCGCGAACCCTGGCGCAGGCGCCGCCCTCAGCCCTGCCGCCTCCAGGCTCACGCAGGCCACATCACTGGTGGATTTCAGCCACTGGGTGAGGTGCACGGTGGCCACTCCCGTGGTTCTACGCTGCACCTCCCGGTGGCCGGAGTGGAGCCCCTTCTAGCCCCGGCTGCTTCCTGGCGACTGATTCAGAGAAGGTCCTGAAATGACACATCTCACAGGGTTCTTCTGCTCTAGGCTCAACTTTTTGTTTGTTTGTTTTTTTTGAGAGTCGCCCAGGCTGGAATGCAATGGCACGATCTTGGCTCACTGCAACCTCTGCCTTCCGGGGTCGTGCGATTCTTCCCGCCTGAGCCTCCCGAGTCGCTGGGATTACAGACACCTGCCACCATCCCCGGCTAATTTTTGTATTATTGTAGAGATGGGGTTTCACCATGCTGGTCAGGCTGGTCTTGAAGTCCTGACCTCAGGTGATCCGCCCGCCTCAGCCTCCCAAAGCGCTGGGATTACAGGCATGAGCCACGGCACCTGGCCCGACTCTGCTCTTCTAAGGGAATCTTTTGGCAAACTCAAGTGCCTGATTTCAATCTAATTCGATTTCTCAATCTCATTTCTTCTGTCAATCACAACTTACTCACAGAGAGGCACACGAGCTGGCTGCCAGCACCGCCAGGCCCTCCGAGGGGGAAGCTGCCTCCTGCTTCCTCTCGACAGCCAGCCTGGCTGCCCCAGAGCTTCGCACAAGGAACAGAAAAGGAGCACTCTCCCGCCTGGACCGTCCGCCAGGTGTCACATGACCTCTTCACTCTTCCCCACCTGTCATCCTAGGACAGACAGCGGCACCCGTCTGTGCCTTTGGTGGACACACGTGTGCATTTCTGTGACTCACGGCTGACTAGAGTGAACAGCCAGGCCCTACAGCAGGCATGAGCTCAGCTTCCACAGAGTGACAGGCGGTGTTCCACGGGCAACTTCCAGAACGCACGCACTCTCCAGGGGCCCTGCACCCTGGCTCTGCCTGCTCCTACGCCGGACGGCAGCTCCCTCCGGGGAGGCTTCCACCCTCTGCAAAGCCAGGTATCCCGGCCTGTATCTGCCGCTGGGAAGAGGCCTCTCCTGTGAGGAACACGCTGGACCTCACGGCTGGCTGCCTTCGTACTGATTCCTAGGAGCCGTGGGTAGGGCCAAGACACATACATACACTACGGAGCGCCTCCTGCCGTCTTTAGGATAAAGACACCTTCTTGGTTTCAATGCAGTCAGCTCGTCAGTGTTCCCCAGCCAGCACTCCTGGGGCGTCCCTGGCGAAGGAAGCCCTGCTCGTGCAGAGCTCAGAAGTTGCCCTCCTGGGTCTCCTCTCCATGCTGTTGTTTGAGCACCATGATCCATCTGGAAGCTGTTTCTCTGTGGCAGGAGGGAGGCAGAGCTCACTTCTCCTACCGGGACAGCCCTCCAGACCGGTCCTGTCACAGATCAAGCTGCCACACGTGTGGCCTCGAGCCTCCTCGCTGGGCCTGCCTGTCTTCTCCGCAGTCCCGCAGTCTCCATCACCGTGTCCTGAGGCAGGTCTGTCGGGGTGCGTGTGCACCCACTGAGCCTCAGCTTGGCTCTTGCCACCCCTACTGAGAATCCAAGGCCCCTGCACCTTCACACACTGTCGGTGCCACGGTCTCCACCGAGACTGGCACCACAGGAATCTGCAGACGGCCTGGCAGAGAGCGGCCGCCTACACCCCGTGTCTCCCTCCACACGCAGAGCCAGCTACGGCTCAGGCCGGCCTCGTTCCCCCGCAGTATTCCAGTGTGCAGTACAGAGGTCTCGAACCAATCTTTTGCTCATTTATTCCAACCCATTTCATGCTACTGTAAACGGCATAGTTTTAAAACCTCGCTTATTGAAATTGTATAAAAGCAGAATTTGTGTAACTCAATTTCGATCTTACTTTACTTATTTTTTGAGACAGTCTCACTCTGTTGCCCAGGCTGGAGTGCAGTGGTGCAATCTCGGCTCACCACCACCTCTGCCTCCGTGTTCAAGCGATTCTCCTGCCTCAGACTCCTGAGTAGCTGGGACTACAGGTGCGCGCCACCACACCCAGCTAATTTTTGTATGTGTGTGTTTTTTTTTTTTTTTTTAAACAGTCTAACTCTGTCGCCCAGGCTGGAGCGCAGTGGCATGATCTTGGCTCACTTCAATCTCCACCTCTCAGGTTCGAGGGATTCTCCTGCCTCAGCCTTCCAAGTAGCTGGGATTACAGGCACGTGCCCCCACACGTGCTAACTGCTAGGTCTTTTTGTTTTGTTTTCATAGAGACGGGGTTCCACCATGTTGTCCAGGCTGGTCTTGACCTCAGGTGATCCGCCCACCTTGGCTTCCCACAGTGCTGGGTTCTGGACGTGAGACACCCCAGCCTCCTGTACTGTAGCCGAGGGGCGCACGGCCTGTCTGCCGGCCTGGCCTTCCTCCCCACCTCGTCCACTGTGACTTCTCGCCTTGCTGTAGCTGCGTTTGCTTGGAATTCCAAGAGAAAGTTGAATAGAATCAACGAACACAGCTATTTTGTCTCATTTTTAGATTTTTCTTAATTAAAAGAAATCATTTGAAGTAATACCTGGGCATGGTGAAAAAAAAAAGAATCAAACAGCAAAGCAGAATCCAAAATGAGCCAGTCTCGGCCGCGGGGGTGCCGTGAGTCGTCCCCAGGTTCCTCCGGAGGGTGCCACGGTGGAGCACGCTGGGTGCCCTGACTGACAATTGCAGGGGAAAGCTTTTATACGACTCTCGCCTCACCGTGGTCAGGCACACTCTAGGTGCTGGGTACGTTAACACGTGGAACTCACTGGACAGGACCTGCCAACTGCCAGCCACGGGCAGGCAGGGACGTGGCGGCCCTCTCCTCCCTTTCCTGAGCTCCGCTGCACTGGCTGAGGTCATCAGCTTAGCTGTGGGCAGGATCTGGGGCCTGGCCGCAGCCTTTCTTCCCAGGCCTCCTCTCTGTCACCTGCTCTACACCTGTTCAGGCTGCAGACGCAGCCACAGTGGAGACCACACAAGAGACCACACGGCAAGAGACCACACAGCAAGAGCAGTAAGAACGCGGACCGACGGAAATCCTGAGGGTGAGACTGTGCACGGCAGTCCTGCACGTCCGTCCGTCCAGGGCTGGGTCTTGACGGCACCAAGTCCTCTGTCTTCATCGCCAACAACCACTGAGGCTCCAGGCACTCCCAGTCCAGGAGCTCCGGCCTGGCTGTCACAGTCCCTCCGTGCACAGGACTCCGGAGCTTCCCAGCCCATTAGCCAGGATGAGACTAAGCCTACTGTGTGCACTGCCCAGCCCCGGAGCTGGGATCAGGGATCGAAGCCGACCTCCAGGTCTGTGATCTCCCTCCCGGCTCCGTGCAGACCACCCGGCCCAGGGCGCCATGGCCACAGGCAGGGGTGCCTTCCAGGTCACTGAATGGCGAGCTACTTACATTTCGGTGGTGAGGATGGATAGTCATCTTTGAAAAGCATCCGTAGTTTAAACAAGCCTCCTTCCCACGGAGTCTGCAAGGAAATAAACCGTGGTGAGATGGGCTGCTCGCCTGCGCAGGGTGGCCCAGGAGGAAGGGGCTTGCTTCTACGGCACAACACACAGGACACCAGGGGCCAGAGGCCCAACAGAGGCGGCTCCTAAACCAGCCTGAAGCCCGGAACAGCCTCAACAAGGCGGCTGTCAGGACCGCTGCCGTGCCCAGACAGTGAGTCGGAAAGGCCCTCCCGGAAAGGAGTGGAGGCGGGAAGCAGGGGCTGGGCGGGGGGGAAGAGCGCTGCATACTGGGCTGGCACGAGGGCACCAAGAGCACCCCTTGCCCTCACCCCAGGGGTGTTCCCAAACCCCCACACCGTCCTGCCTGGACGAGGCCCCTCTGCCGCCCCACGACCCCACACCACCTTCCGCCTTCCTCGGTGCCTTGCCCTAACGTGAGGGGCAAGCACCTTCTCAGCAGAGCCTTGGACGAGTGACAAAGCCAAGCCACATATGTCTCGGGCAAAGCAGAGTCCTGAGGGGACTGCTCAGCTCAGGGAACCTTCACAGTGAAACCCAGAGGGGGCCCGGGCTGGAGGGAACGAGGCCGTAGGCAGGACCAGCACCTCAGGGATCTCTCCGCTTCCTTCAGAATCAACAAGCATGAACTGTACGTGTACCCCAGCCTGCAGTCCCCGGCCAAAGAGGACAGGCACATGGGCTGCCCTGCCTGCCAGCGACATGTAGGGGTTCGCAAGCCGGCCGGCCAGGCAGACGCCGCTGGTCCCTGGGGGTTCTCCAGGAGGCAGCTTTACGCAGGGCTGGCTCCCCCGACAAACCCAGCTCCCGAGAGCTGAGCCACACCCCGAAGGACACGGCAGTACCCAGACTCCCGCCTCGGCCTGCTGTCAACCTTGCCCATGCAGCTCTGTGCAGAGCCCCCTCCCTGCTGCCACAGCTCAGCTTTGTGCCCGGCCAGGTGCCAGGCTGCTTCCTTCTCAACCAGAACTGCTCTGGGAGGGGACCACAGCAGTCCCACCTTCTGCGTTCACGTCCCGATGGGGCGGGGACCAGGACAGAGCTGGGATGTGACCTGTTGCTGACTGCAGCCTGTGACAAGGACGGCTGTCACGGACGGCAAGGATCGGAGTGGAGTGTCCCCACGGCGCTGCCAGACAGGAGGCCGGTGGCGCGCGCCTCTTACCCCTTTCTTTCCTGGAATGGCGCACTCCCAGTTCATGAGGTTCATCGTGCCATCGGGATTTTTTGTTGGGACAGCCACGAAACCCTGAGGGAAAACCACCACAAAAGCACATCAGTGCAGTGGCATCTCATTTTACCAAAACCGCTGAGAACCCGCCTGCGAGTCCCAGCGGCCCGGCACAGGCACGTGACCGGCTCCCTCCCAGAGGGACAGGACGCTTTCACCCAGGGGAGCCTGCCCACTGTGCTGCACGCGCACACGGAGCTCTCCTTACAAACGGGTGGTCTTTTCTCCACGCTTTCCTCTCCTGAGCGAGTCTGCTGAGGGCGATCCCCGACATGTTCAGAGTCCCTGCAACACAGGAGGCAGAGCGGGCGGTCAGGAGGGGCCACGGGCTCCTCCGCCCTAACACGCGCACACCGGCCTGCAGCAGGCCTACTCCCAACATGCACTGGCCCAGCCCAGCAGGACGCTTCTGCAAGCCACTGTCCGGCCCTGGGGTCCACCGGGGAGGCCCTGTGAGCAGCTCCCAGATCACCCGTGGGGGTGGGGGGCAGGTAAGATCCCTTCCCCGTGGCCACCCCCACATGCCCCCATCAGTGCGACAAGGTGTGGCCTCCGCTCCACGGGAACAAACACACATTCAGAGGCTGGGTGGTAGCTGCCACCCTGTGGTGGGTGCCTGGCATGGCAGGGTCCCCACCACACCAGCAGGTGGGGAATAGGCAGGGCTGGGTCCCCAGGTGTGTGGGGTACTGGGTCCCTGGCCTTGGTAACAGGCACTCAGAACTGAGACTCACGCCCGGCCAGTGGACACCTGTTATTCTTGAAGACAGAACGGAACAACCACAGGGCAGAGGCTCAGACCCGCTGTGGGAGGCGCCCCCGCAGGTCCACCCTTCCCAGACCCTGCAGCCACTACCACATCCCTGTGGCTTCAGGGGACAGCCGGGGACAGCCGGGTCCTGCCGGGCAGAGCAGGAGCACGGCGTAGGGGACCAGATCCCTGGTCAGAGGAAGTGGAGCACAGGCCAGATTCCAGCTCCACGCATCTCGAGGGACCTCAGGGGCCGGGCACCTTCGCCTTACAGGTCTAGGCGGGAGCCTGTTGGGCCACACTGTCGCCGCAGGAGGGCTGCAGGTCCATCCAGGGAGATGTTCCTGGCGCTGAGGACACTGGTGGGCAGGGCCAGCAGCCTCACGCCACCCTCAACTGTCACCCTACCGGTGGCCACCTTTACTCACGAAAAACAGCACTCTGTTTACAAAACTTTCTGGAGACTCGAAACCTAAGTGTGTGCTGGTCATCAAAGTCCACGGGAACGCTGAAGCTGCCCCCAAGTCTGGTATTTCAACACCAAAGAGGGGCACCTCTGCGGAGCTGGGGACTCTGCCAGGCCTTCTACGCTGTAGGGGGGCTGTCCCGACTACGACATGGGCTGTCCTAGAGTGGGCACAGGGCCCTGGTGACCTGGATGGCGTCCGCACCTGTGGAGGCCCACGAACCTCACACACCTCACGGCCTCAGGAAGGGCCAGGCCTGCACCCCACCGGGGCCACAGTCGCCACAGCCCCACCTGGCAGTTATCAGGGAGGCCCGGCCCAGGCCCCGGCAGACCCACGAGGAAGGAGCTCTCAGAGGCCTGCCCTCAGGTTTTGGGCAGCACGATGACCTTCCCTGAGTCAGCAAAGTAGAGGTGTGGGGGCCGGGGTCTAAGAAGCCCAGGCAGATCCAGCGTCGCCAGGGCACCAGGGTTCCAGAAGCGGGGCGGGGCTGCTAGAGCCGCGTGCCCTGCAGGGAGATCTGGTTCATTTTCACCAAACACGGATTCTCATGGTAGTCGGAGAAAAAGCAGGCAGAGGAACCTGGGTCCTCCAGTCAGCGGACGCTGGTGTCACCACAAGAGGGTGACAGGGGCCACCGGGCCCTGGCCTCCAGCTCCATGACTAAATCTAAGACAGGCAGTCTGGGCTGGAGGCAGCCATGGTCTGGGCCCCACCGGGATGTCCTTCCCTACATCCTCCTCACCAAGATGCAGAGGGCCCACAAGCCACCTGCCCTTCGGACCGCCTGCCCTTCCCCACGCCCTCCTCTAAGTCGGGAGGAAGTGGGGCAGGACAGAGCTGGGCCGAGCTGGGGGCAGGCGGGCATGAGCCCCGAGCAGGCTGGAGTGCCCGCCAACCAGGGGTTCAAGGTTCTCTCCGCACCGGCTGGGGTCTGAAACTCCACGCGTTTCTCCGCCTTCCCCTTCCATTGGCTCTTCTGCATGGAGCAGCCCACCTCCACCCTGGTGCTGGCGGACTGAGAAGTCAGGGGCTCTTGCCTCCCCAGCCCCAGGGAGGACTCTCTGAGTGGCTGCAACCCGTGCCTGGCGCAGTGCAAAGCAGCTTGGCGAGTGGCCGTTTCACGGAGGCGCCAGCTCCCAGGTGCCCATGGTCTGAGCGGGGCCAGGCATCAGACAGGCCTCTGAAGCCCCAGACCAGCGCTCCAGACACTGAAGGACCATGGGCACCGATGCTCACCGCCAGGCAAGGCCAGACCATGGAGAGGCCAGCAGGCCTGGGACTCTGTCACAGGCGGCCCTCCTGCTGAGGGCTGGATAGGGCTGCCCAGAGGCCCTGCTCACCACCCAGCTATCGTCGCCTCAGGTGTGAGAAGTCTTGAGGGGTGGTCCTGCCAGACCTCCTGCCAAGGCCTGGCTGCTGCCACTGTGCCCCCAGCCCCAAAGCACTCAGCACCATGGGGTGGTCGTACAGGACACTGTACCATCAGGGTAAGGAGCCAGAGGTGCACACCCACCCCATCCTAGGCAGAAGCCAGGCCTGGCCTCCAAGATCCCTGCTCCCCCTCCTGCTGGTCTGCCTACTGGAAAAAGTGGCCAATCTGTTACAATGTAATCACAACACAGACCCAGCAAATCCCACTGAAAACTGAATCCACCGGCCCCAACTAACAGATAGGCACTTCGTGAACAGCCAGGAGTCACTAAACGCTTCAAAGCAGGAAACTTTTATGCTACAAAGACAAAAACAACTCTCTTCTGTCAGCACCGAGCAAGGCCCAGACACCTGCAGCAACGGGACCTCTGGGCCGGGCGCTCCAGGAGCTGCCTGAAAGTCTGCCGCCTGCCCTCTCACAGGGCACACACACAGGGCTGAGCTTGAGCATGTCCGATCACCACCCGGCTCTGCTAGCCGACAGCACCGACTTCAGAGCAACTTCCTGGCTGAGGGTGAGCAACGCGCTCACCTCCCACAGCTCCACCGCACTCATCACCAGAACAGGTGGGCGCCACGACAGGCTGGCACCTTAAGCCCTCGAAGGTCCTCCTGCACCCAAATGCACACTCTCCCAGGCCCGGGAAAGTATTCCCTTCTGCACGACCCGGGCACCTGCAGTGGGGAGACGCTCACCTGGCCGCACCTGTCTGTCCCAGGCCCCTAGGCTGTTTCCGCAGCAAGATCCCAAACCCTGGGACACCACACAAGCGCACACCCGCAACCACCCAGCAGCCTAGGGAAGGGACGGACCTCTGTGTGAGCCATCAGGGCAAACTGAGGATCCGTCCCGTCTTCTCTTAGCTAGGTTCTCGACCCAAAGCCAATGTTTCTTTAAGAGCAAAAGACAGGTGGGGTAGGTCCTACAAAGAAAACCCCCCAAAGACAGGTACTCTGCGAACAGAGAAACTAAGCGTTATTCCCAATTATACAAACCAAACCACTTCGTTCTGCGCTTCACGCGTGACTACAGGCCACGATCACAAGCCCAGCTCATCACGCCGGTACCTGCCTCCTACGCCCCCAACTACCAGAGCCAGCCACTCTTGGACTGGTCCAAAGCGAGCCCCCGAGACAGAACAAAACTCCCTCCAGCGAGGCGCTCACGTCCCGGGCCCCGGCGGGCGCCAGCGGAGCATCTTCGGAGGCGCGAGAAAACTTGGACGTGTTTTGGTTTGAAGGCCCCGAAAACCCGCCCGGCTCGCCGGCCCCCACCCCCGCGAGTCGGCGGTGTTGCAATCCTCGCCGTCCGCGGGGCGACCGTGACCCCGGAAGCCGCTCACCGCGCAGGAGGAAGGCGCGGCCTCGCGGGGCCCCGGCTGCAGGTGGCTGCCCCGGCCCCGCGCCAGGCGCACCTCGAGGGCGAAGCGGGGAGCCCCGGCCCCGAAGGCCTGCGGCGAACCAGGCGCTCGGGCTACAGCCCCGCGGCGCCAGCAGCGCGGGCCGGGCCGGCGTCGAGCGCGGGGCCTCTCGGGCTCTCCGGGAAGCGCGGCCGCGACGCGGGGCCCGGCTCGGCGGGGCGGGGCGCGGGGCAGCCGGGGGCCCGGGCCCGACAGCGGTGGAGGCCTCGGCCCGACCCCCGCCCCGCGGCCCCGGCCCGACCCCCGCCCGCGCTCACCTCGAGCGGCCGCGGCCCCGGCGAGCGTCGCGGACAGGCGGAGGACCGAGCGGGGCGGCGGCGGCGGCGCTTCCCTTTGTCTCGGGACTTCCCTCCGGAGCCCGCTCCGCGCGCAGCCCGAGCAGCTCCGAGGACCCTGGAGCGGGCGGGGCGCGCGGGGCGGGGCCTGGCGCGCGGCTGTCCTCCGCACGCCTGCCTCGCGCGCCGCCGCCGCCGCCCCGCCCCGAGTGCTGCCCGCGCCACCACCCGCCCCCCGCTGCCCGGGCCCCGCCACCGCGCGCCCACGACCCGGGTCCGCCCCAGGAGCCCGGTCAGGGGGCGAGTTTCCAGTCAGGCGGCGCCCTGGACACCTACATCCTTAAAGGAGCCGCGTCCCCGATGTGAGGGAGCGTCTGCAAACTCCCCTTCGGGGCGCCCGCGTCCACCCGAGGACACGCCGGCGAGCAGCGGGGGCAAAAAGAGGCCAAGAATTTCAAAAGCTCTCCGGATACCCGGCGATCACCTGTCCAGGCACAGGTCCCGGAGGTTTCCTTGGGGTCACGGCCTGGGGTCGGGGGGCAAAGACCACTGAGGCCTAAGGATCCCCTGAAGCGTCGCAGGACGGTGACGCTCCCGCTAGTTCAGCGCCCTGTGAAACCCCTTGCAATTGGCCAGTTCGGGGTAGTGGGCGGGGAAATCTTCTAATCCGCCCAATGAACTGACCTGGTACAAAAAGCCGAATGCGAGCATGACCGACGGGAGGAGAAGTGAGGATGTTCCCTAGCTTGGGGGCGGACCCTGGGCGGGGGCGGGGCGCGGGGCCTGCGAGCGGCGGGGGCGGGGCGGGCCCGTGGGGGAGGGGCGCTTCCGGGCCCCACCCCCACTCCTATCCCCGCGCCAACACCGGGGACCGGGGCGGGAGGCCCGCAGCCCAGCGAGCGCGCTGGACGCTCCGCCAGCGCGCGGCTGTGCTGGCCCTGGGGCTCTCCCGGCACCCCCCGCCCCCATTTCACCGACGGCGGGGTCGCTGCCAAGGTCACTGTGTCCGGGCGCTTGGGGACCACGGGGACTGACCGCATTCATTCATTACCTCCCTCACTCACTCATTCCCTCCCTCTCTCACTCATTCATTCATTCCTTTACTCACTCATTTCTTCGCTCCCTCAATCATTTCCTCCCTCATTCGTTCCCTCCCTCACTCATTCTCTCCCACATTCACTCATTCCCTCCCTCCCTCATTCATTCCCTCCCTCCCTCACTCATTCCCTCCCTCTCTCATTTCTTCCCTCCCTCATCCATTAATTTCCTCCCTCCCTCATTCATTGCCTCACTCATTCCCACCCTCACTCATTCATTTCCTCCCTCCTTCACTCATTCATTCTCTCCCTCCCTCATTCACTCATTCCCTCCCTCACTCGTTCCCTCCATCCCTCACTCATTCCCTTCCTCCCTCACTCATTGCTTCCCTCCCTCATTCATTCCCTCCCTCACTCATTCCCTCCCTCCCTCACTCATTCATTCCCTCACTCATTCCCACCCTCATTCATCCCCTCACTCGTTCGTTCCCTCCCTCCCTCCCTCACTCATTCCCTCCCTCACTCACTCATTGCCTCCCTCCCTCATTCATTCCCTCACTCATTCCCACCTTCATTCATCCCCTCACTCGTTCGTTCCCTCCCTCCCTCACTCATTCTCTCTCTCCCTCACTCATTCATTCCCTCCCTCACTCATTCCTCCCACCGCCTTCTGCAGGGTCCCCAGCTGGTGCTTCCTGGCACAGACCAGCAGCAGGAGGGGTGACTGTGAGCCCTGGGCCTGCCCAGGCTGCCTTCTACCTAAGCCGCCCACCCAGGAGTCACAGCCTCCAGGATGGGGTCCGGGGCAGCAGGGGCAGCCTCCCTCAGACTCCAGACCCCAGGAGCCACACACAGCCCTGTCCCACCGAGACCAGTGTGGGCCTGGCTGGGCCACACCTCCCAGGCTCAGAGTCACTGTGGCCTGTCTAGACACCTGTTCTCCCAGCCTCCAGCTCTGAAGTCCTGAGTACTGTATCTGCTTTCTGCATTTTTTTTTTTTAATATGACACAGAGTCTCACTCTGTAGCCCAAGCTGGAGTGCAGTGGCGCGATTTCAACTCACTGCAACCTCCACCTCCCGGGTTCAAGGATTCTTCTGTCTCAGCCTCCCGAGTAGCTGGAATTACAGACACCCACCACCACGCCTGGCTAATTTTTGTATTTTAAGTAGGGATGGGGTTTTGTCATGTTGCCCAGGCTGGACTTGAATTCCTGACCTCAAGTGATCCACCCACCTTGGCCTCCCAAAGTGCTGGGATTACAGTGTGAGCCTCCCACCTGCCCGGCTGAAATCTGCATTCTTTTTTTTTTTTTTTTTTTTTTTTCAATGAGACAGAGTTTCGCTCTTGTTACCCAGGCTGGAGTGCAATGGCGCGATCTCGGCTCACCGCAACCTCCGCCTCCTGGTTCAGGCAATTCTCCTGCCTCAGCCTCCTAAGTAGCTGGGATTACAGGCACGTGCCACCACGCCCAGCTAGTTTTTTGTATTTTTAGTAGAGACGGGGTTTCACCATGTTGACCAGGATGGTCTTGATCTCTTGACCTCGTGATCCACCCGCCTCGGCCTCCCAAAGTGCTGGGATTACAGGCTTGAGCCACCGCGCCCGGCTGAAATCTGCATTCTTAACCCGTACCTTGGGTGAACCTGGTGGAGGGATATGGCCGTTGGGCTTCCTGGCATGGGCTAAGTTTCCAATGCCATCTTTCTGGCGAAGATGCTGGCACAGGGCTGTGTGGGGAGGCGTCAGCCAGTAAAGGCCGTGGCCAGAGGAAAGCCAGGAGGAGCCATGGCCTGGGCGGACCCTGCTCCAGCCTCAGGCACAGAGAGGGCGGGGCTGGCGAGGTGGGGGGCTTGTAGGATCATGAGTTGGGGGGCGCTTTGGGAGGCTGACTGGACGGATGTGGTGTGTGGCTGGGGAGGACGTGGGCCTGATGCTGTGGGCCGCGGGAGCCATAGAAAGTTGTGGAATAGGAAAAGCAAAACGGGGCCCTGGTTCCCTGTGTGTGTGGGAGGGATTGAGACCTGCCTGGTGGAAAGTGGCCCCGGGAGCGGGCTGGGGACTGGGGAGGCTGTGGCGGGTGGGGGTGAGGGGCATGGAGTCAGAAGGGGAGGGAAGAGGCTCCCTGAGTTGGGCGACTTCAGCCCAGAAGTGTTCTTTGAGCAGCCAGCAACTGTCACACACGTTTTCAAGGAGAGGGCACTTGTTGGGTCCAGCTCCCTGGGTGCAAAGGAGAAGCTGAGGCTTGGAGAGGGTGGGGGGTTTGAATCAGTGACTGTGACATCTGCACAAGGCTTGTGGCTGACTGTGCCAGGCATGCGCCACCCACCCTTGCCCCTGTCCTCTCGGGAGGGAGCAGGAAGTGTGACGAGGAGCTGCCTGCTGTAGGGTGGGACCTCCAGTCCCCTGGGTGCCCTTTCCGGGCCCTGCTGGGGCCAGGCTCTGCACACCAGGTTTTGAGAGCAGAGACCGCTGCTCCAGGGCCCAATTCCCCAGAGAAAGAAGGGTCTCTGCGGTAGAGTGAAGGTGGACCCTTACCCCAGAGCATGCACAAAACCCAGCTCCAAAGACAGCTCTGGCCAGGCGCAGTGGCTCACGCCTATAATCCCAGCACTTTGGGGGCCAAAGAAGGCAGATCGCGAGGTCAGGAGTTTGAGACCCACCTGACCGTCATGTGTGAAACCCCATCTCTGCTGTGGTCGGGACACAGCTTGGTTTTATACACTTTAGGGAGACTGGAGTCATCAATCAATGTGCATAGGAAGTACAGTGGCTTTTGGCTGGGCACAGTGGCTCAAGCCTGTAATCCGAGCACTTTAGGAAGCTAAGGCAGGTAGATCACTTGAGGTCAGGAGTTCAAGACCAGCATGGCCAACATGTGAAACCCCATCTCTACTAAAAATACAAAAATTAGCCAGGCGTGGTGACACACACCTGTAATCCCAGCTGCTCGGGAGGCTGAGGCAGGAGAATCACTTGAACCCTGGAAGCGGGGTTGCAGTGAGCCGATATCATGCCCTTAGACTCCAGCCTGGGCAACAAGAGTGATACTCCCTCTCAAAAAAAAAAAGAAGAAATACATTGGTTTCATCCAGAAAGGTGAGACCACCCGAAACAGGGAGGGGCTTCCAGGTCACAGATAGGTGAGAAAAAAATGGCTACAAATGGTTGCATTCATTTGAATTTCCTTTTTTTTTTTTTTTGAGACAAACTCTTGCTCTGTAGCCCAGGTTGGAGTGCAGTGGTGTGACCTTGGCTCACCGCAGCCTCCACCTCCTGAGTTCAAGTGATTCTCTTGCCTCAGCCTCCAGAGTAGCTGGGTTTACAGGTGCATGCCACTGCACCCAGCTGGTATTTTGTATTTTTAGTAGAGACAAAATTTCACCAGGCTGGCCAGGCTGGTCTTGAACTCCGGACCTCAGGTAATCCGCCCACCTTGGCTGCCCAACGTGCTGCAGGTGTGAGCACCGTACCCACCTCCGTACCCACCTCCCTCGAGTTTCTGATGAGCCTTTTCAAAGGAGGCCGTCAGATATGCACCTATCTCAGTGAGCAGAGGAATGATTTTGAATAGAATGGGAGGTGGGTCTGTCCTGAGCAGCCCCCCACTTGACTTTACCCTTTGGTTTAGTAATTTTGGGTTCCCAAGATTTTCCTTTCCCAAGTCCCAGCTACTTTGGATTCTGAGGGAAGAGAATCATGTTTGCCCTGTAGGCCAACGCTGCCGTGAGCTGTGTTTGCACCGCTGCACTCCAGCCTGGGCAACAGAGGGACACCCTGTCTCCAGAGAAAAATGTTTTTCAGATCCTGAGTTTCGGCTGCTGCCAACCAGTGTGAAGACCTCCACAGAGGAACAAAATCAGGATAAGAATGCAGCCACTTTAGTTCCCTCATCAGTGACCCTTACACCTCAGCCACTCCACAGCTCTTGAAATCCCTAGCTCCTAATTAGCCCAGCATGGAGGTGGGCGCCTGTAGTCCCAGCTACTCTGGAGGCTGAGGCAGGAGAATTGCTTCAACTTGGAAGGTGGAGGTTGCAGCGAGCCGAGATCGCACCAACTGCTCTCCAGCATGGCGAAAGAGCAAAATT